GAGATGTTCTCAGAATGCCCTTTATGTATGATATAGTTGCTGTGGTCGTAGGAGTTGCTCCCTTAGTTAAGAAAATTAATGTAGCCTGAGAGGTAAAATTTAAACTACGTTTCGCCATAAAAAAACAACAACGGCAAGAACTTGGTCATCAGGCTTACAAGAGAATAGAGGCTAGATATCTCTAGTTATCTCGCGCACGCGCATTTCACTCCCTTTATCGATTGTTACGTTAGTATCACGCATGCTCAGTTTCCTCCTTTAGTTGATTGTTTCGTCAGTACCTCGCGTATTCTCAGTTTCCTCAAGTATCTCAGAAATTATTATCCGATATAGGACGTCAGAAGGAGTCTTACCAGTAGGTTAGATTAAAGGAAAGGTAAGGTTAAAGTTAAAAGATTTTTGTCTTGTTTTATTGCAGAGGTCACATAGATATCACTATTCTTGGAGCTATGCAAGTGTCACAGTTCGGAGACATTGCTAATTGGATGATCCCGGTAAGTAATTATATCAATATATATCAAAAGGAACAAATGAGAACTCAGTCACTTGTAGTCGGCCTGAAGCGCCTGTCGATAAAAGCGAGCGAGCAGCGATTGGTGTTTGTTTTGTTTCTGATTAGTTGGAAATGTTTGGGTGAGTTCTTTCGACCAATTACAGAGTAAAACTAAAGCAATGGCTGATTACTTACAAAAATTAGCTGAAAATAACTCCAATTGCGACGGCCATTACGAGCAAATGTAACCATAAGAAGCAGGCACAGAGAAGAACTAAACGCATCAGCTGGCTGACAGACTGCTTTCAACAAACTGATTTCACTCTGACGAAGCGCTAAGCTCAAAACTTCAGCTTTAGAAACTCTTTAATAAAACCAAATTATCTGATTGATGGATTGATTGATTGATTGATTGATTGACAGGGCAAAATGGTGAAAGGAATGGGAGGTGCCATGGATTTAGTTTCCAGTGGGTCTAAAGTTATAGTTACCATGGAACATCTGGCAAAGGTGGGTGTTCTATCTTGCACTCATAGTGCTTAAATTTAATTTTACCTTTTGGTCCGTCTAAGACTGCAAGCCGTTGCAGTAAAAAAAAAAAAAAAAAAAAAAAAAAAAAATGGGTTAAGAGGAACGAAAAACGACAAAAAAAAAAAGATCTCAAAAGTGCAGGACCAATTTCTGGCGATCGTGTCCTAAGACCAGTTAATTTGTGATTTAAAATCCAAAGTGGATGATGCGACAATTCATTGTCACCTTGTTCATGTGTATGTTTTTCTGCTACAGGGAGACAAACATAAGATCTTGGAAAAGTGTACACTTCCCTTGACGGGCACAAACTGCGTAAACATGATCATCACCGAAAAGGTAGTTGATTTAAGGTGGCTTTTTTTTTGTTATAAATACACCGCAAAATCCTGGTATAATACCTCGGTACCTCGGCTCCAATCTACGGTTTCCTATCGGAGTTTCTGTGTACTCGAAGGCAAGTTAAGGAAGGAGTCGGATCTTAAAACAGGTTTCAAACGCTTTGCTAAATCACAGTCATTAGGTGCAATTGTTGAGAAGCCTAACCGGTTCCTTTCTTTATACATGTTTACGATAGCATTACAGGATATTACCTGATGCGCCTCAATCATCTTCAAATAATTGACCGATGGAAAGGTCCTAGTTATATAAAAGTCATACTTCCAGAACTTATTATTAAAAGATTTTGCACGGTCAGGGAATTCCCACCGGCTTCAAAATCCAATCTCTCTAACGAATCTTAGCTACATAAAAAAACTGAAAATATTAAGGTACGTCTACCAAAGACAATAAACAATCAAACTGGAAGGAAAACTGGACAAACTGAAAAATTCCTTACTATATCTGAAAACTAGCTTAAACGTGTGCTTGTAAGGGATGAAGGAGATTTTTTCACGCTGACAAAATTTAACTCATAGGAGAAGATATTGCACGTGCCTCTAAACAGAGGTTGATCGAATTACTTTGTGATTGGTACTTCGGATGCCCTATTTCTGAGCCTTAGGAGGCTTGTTCTAGCCTGGCTATTGATTTAACTGGGTTCTTAAAGCTTACATTTTGCAAACTTCGAGGAGTTGCATGTCGACGCAATGCCTTCGTACGATGATGGATTTGTGAATTCCGTATATTTTGTTATTTATGTATTTGACTTTCAGTGCGTATTTGAAGTAAGTAAAGAGAATGGTCTCATACTGACAGAGTTATGGCCTGGAGTATCTATTCAAGATATACAAATTTCCACTGGATGTACCTTCCAAGTGAGCACGATCCTTAAATCTCTGGAATTTTTATTGTCGTTGTTGTTGATTTCATTGTTATCAATGTCTTTGGTATAATGTTTGACATTCTCGTCATAAATCATTATCGTTTGCCGTCAATCTAGACGACAAATTTGCTTCGATCTTAGCCATGCTTAGCTATTGCCATTCCTCCATTCCTTTTTACTGGAAAGTCTTTAAAAGTTTAGCTAGTTGTTTTTGCCTCAGCGGCCTTAAACCTTTGATTCCTAAGAGTGACAAGCATCTGATTTATACTTACAACATCACCCCTGAATGACGCATCAAGGTCACAAGAGTAGAGGAAATTATCACCAACCAAAAAGCTCTTGATTATTAAACTAATTCTCCTTGTCAGTACCCTAGGACATGTATGGGGAACTGTATGGAGAATATTCATACTGATGTTGCAGTGTAAAGGGTTAAATGTATTTCTTTCAGTAATTCTCTTTCGAATTATCCTGAACATTTTTACTTATTTTTTTTCACCATTTGCAGGTTTCCCCTGACCTAAAGGAAATGGAACAAATATCATAGAAGAGGGAAATTTCCCGTAAATGATATACTAAGTATTTAATAAGTTATTTTTAAAAAACTAATGGAAGGGAAAATGTATCCTCCAGGTGTGCTGGCAAGATAAAGAGAATCTTGTGTAATGAAAAAGAACAGGGTCAAGTATTTTTTAAAAACGTACTCAGATCTCCCTGAAACACTGGTTGGGATTACTCAACAACAAGAAAATAAGTGAAACATTTTTGAAGATAATATCGATAGCGAATAATTATTAGTATATTTGATGATTTCACTGTCCGGTGAAAAATCGTCAGGACAGTCAATCCCTGCAGTTAGTACACAAATAGGAAAGCAAAGTTGCGTAAAAATGTATTATAGCATGGTTTGTCGAATGGAACTGAAATGAAGTGTAGCTGACATGAAGATGAGTACAAATTTAGCTGGTTACAAATAGTTAGGCAGAAAAAAATGATCTTAGCTAGACTGCAAGACACATTTGTTGGGATACCTACTGTCTACCCTTCCCCTCTCAATGTTGGTCTGTTGGCATTGAATGGAGGAGAGGGGCAAAGAACATCATAGACCCTCTTTCAGAGCAGTGACGCAACTAATTATGTTTAGGAGTGTAAGTAATCGGTTTAATGAAATCATCTTACGTGCGGTAACTATTCAAATAAATAGCGGGAACAAAGTTGTTACTTACCATTTCCGTGCTCTAGACAAGTATGTAAATCACAACACTAGGGTGAGTACTTTTTTAAAGATTTTGAAACGTTTCACGCAATAAAGTATCGTTTCCTGACATCACAATAACAGATAAATCTCTGAACGATAGAAGACAGAAGGATGCTGTGAAATAATTATAGCGGAGCTCGTAGCTCGCGCAGCGATGCCCTATACTTAACATAAATCGTGGGGACCCATCATGCCGAGAAAGTTTGGTTTGTCACGTAACCTTACGACCGTCCGTCTGTATAAGGTAAAGAAAAAAGTTGGAATTCCATTTTTTGCAACAATTAATGATGAAATAAAGGAAAAAATACATCTTAACGCCTACCTTAATTTAACTAGGGTGTCATCTGATAATGATGTTACAAGGCTTTTGACCAACAGGCGAAGTGGCTCCTCTGGAAGTTATCGCCATTTCTGTTTCTGAACCACCACGCTACTTAGAATATTGCCTTCTTCTATGCTCCTATGTTGGTTGGCGAAAAATTCAAAGATTCATTTTTTTAACTACATATAAGATTCACACGCTAAAAATTATGTGTTTTCTATATAAGTAAGCCAATGAGAACAGCAGCTACTCGGGGCTTCCTTCTTGAAAACAGTCGGCACTTCAAAGTTTGATTCTGTTTCGGAGATTGCTGTTCTCAGTCTTCTTCTAACTCAGCTTGTAAATTCTGCCTCACATGGTCGATTGCAGGAAGAAGTCAAGTGCACTCTATTTTCGTCGACTCTAAAGGTTTTGACCGTACCATTGCCTTCGGGCGTAGGTTCATTTGAGTCACCCCTCATCACCTACGATCGGCAATTCGGCACGATTGTCGCTTTAGTGATCGTGCACTTAGGCGCTTGATTTACAAACTTTTCTCACGCTCTCCCAACATCTTGTTGGGTTATTACGCCGGTAAACTGATAGAAAGTGCGGTCTTTTTCTTAAATAAACTGGAACTGAAAAAGACAAGTCTTACGCGTGTTATTTGGTCTGCGTCACAATCCATTAAGCGATTTCTCTTTGCGATTATTAGTCAATCGTTATGTTCTGTGATGTATTCACGTCGAAGAAAAATTTCCTAGGCCGCGTACCCCGTTAAAATGTGAGTTTTTTTAATTTTCAGTGACCTAAGGTTGAGAATGATATACGACATCTTGATGTCAATACTCAATTAACTTTTACCAAGTAAAGAAGGTTTTCTCTGTCGTACAATTAACATATGTCCTACCAGATGTCTTAGTGTTTGCCTCTCAGTGTTTAGTCGTAGCTGATGAGGTATATATCTAACAAATTCAAGGAACAAATTTACATTTGTTTGACACCACAGACAGCTTTTTCGTGCATTCTAGAGAAAACAAACTACTGAGGAGTCTGAGGAAGTCTGTAGGTCATCATTCTCAAGAAAACAAGGTTTAGTGATCATAGCTGGGCTGCCCAGATAAACCGCGGTAAAAAAGAAAACGATAGCAGAATTATGGCGACAACAAATTTTACAGATGGTGGGTCTAAGATAAAAACAATCCAAGAACTGGCATGTTCCCCTTCTTCAGCTGATGGATTACAACAACCATCAATTTATCTCGCTGCAGTCAACATGTTCCTCTCAGTCACTGCGTTTCTTGGGAATTTTCTCATTCTTGTTGCCCTTCGCAAGGAGTCTTCCCTTTGTCCGCCATCCAAGCTCTTATATCGATGTCTGGCAATAACTGATCTGTTGGTTGGTCTTGTTACTCAGCCTCTTTATGCTACTTATTGGATGTCCTTAGTTTACGAACAACGGAGTCTTTGTCTATATACATACTACACCGCCTGCATAACAGGCTTTACCTTGTATTCAGTGTCTTTGTTGACAATAACGGCCATAAGCGTGGACAGACTTCTGGCCCTGTTGTTAGGGCTGAGATACAGACAAATTGTAACGTTGAAGCGCACAAGTATCATTACAACTACCTTTTGGATTGTATCTGTTGTCGCCGCTTTATGCTACATTTTAGATAACCGCATAACCCTTTCTTTTGGTTGTACAGTTATACCATCTTGTCTAGTGATCTCAATCACATTGTACTCAAAGATTTTTCGCACTCTCAGGCATCAACAGGCTCGAGTACAAGATCGTTTTCAGCAGCAGCCAGGCCAACCAAATGCACTGAACATCGCAAGATACAGAAAAGCAGTGTACAGTGCACTGTGGGTGCAGCTTGCTTTAGTTATTTGTTATGCACCATATGATATTGTGGTAACTATGATCATTTTAAGAAAGTCATATTCATCACATCTCATCGTCTGTAAAGACATTCTGGTAGTTTTTGCCCACTTTGACTCCTCTTTAAATCCTTTTCTTTTTTGCTGGAGGATTGGTGAAGTAAAACAAGCAGTAAAGCAGACAATCAGACAAACACTTTGTCTATAGAGTTAAATTCGTCTTAGGCCACACTCAAATGGACACCTTCAAGGCTGCCGTTTAATTAGTCACAACCCCTTCTCAGAATGCTTCAGTGTCAAATATATCACTGGATTAGAGGAAATAAGTAGTTCTAAAAAATCGCTCCTCGAGGCTTGTAAATATATTTTTTCCGCACGTAAAAAAACTGAATGAAAGGCAATGGAAACACTAATAACATCTTTTGAAACAATGTGAATGCAACAAGTCACAACCAAAGAAAAGTATAATTGTATTGTAATATATGTATTGTAAGTAGTACAGGTTAATGTAGTGTAAGCATCGTGTAAGAAGTATAGTGTAAGTACATATGTAAGTATAATATAGAGAAAAAAAAATAACCAAAGAAAAGATGTGCACGTACTATACTCTCACATGTTTACTCCACTTAACAACATATGAAGGCATCGGATAAGAGTAGTTTAACAGAGTTGGCGAGGTAAAATAATTTTACGACAGCAAAAGAGTGAAATTCCAATATTTTGTTTCCTGAAGAGGACTTCGATGTACGCCGTATTGCCAAACAAACTGGTCAAGTGTCACTCTCGAAATTTGATCTGTTTTCTGAAAAATTTCCAGAATTCTTATCAATATGTGACTGTTTTTTGTTACTGGTATGTATTAACGTAGTTTAAGAAAGTGTATGAAATAAAATTGACCATCGCTGCCTGTTAGTTTTCTTTCAGATCGATCGATTCTCTGAAATTATATGATTATAGCGAAAAAGGGATTTCGAATGAATCATATACTTCACATTTATAAATATTTTATTTAAAGTGGTGTTATATATCCAGCATGTCATTATTTCATCCTCTAGTTGTTTTTAGTTTCATTATTCTACGTCTATCACCTCCGAGCGGCTAATTGTCGCTCTCGACTAATTGTCGCTCTCACCTGATTTTCTTTCAAGTCGTTTTAAAAAGGTTTTCTGCAATTCAGCATCAACCACGACATTAAAAGAATATTTCCATTTGATAATAGGCCCTAAATTGACAATATGTCTTAATGTACCGCTAGTACAATCTATAACCCGTGTCTTTCTGTTTGCCAAGGGAATTGACTGCAAGTACTAATTTGAGCTTAAATTAGACTTTACAAGTTGAGAGAAACAGCTGGTTGCGATCCACATATGTCTGTTTAGCAGTTAAGTAGTTTAGAAAAGTAAAGAGAAAATGTCGTGAATAAAACTTTAACACAACGCTGACAGGTTTATTAAACAACTGATTCGTACGTCAGTGTCCGTTCACCAAGATATGACGCATGGCCGAGAATATTTCAGAGCACGAAGAATGTGTAAGAGTTGCTTAAGACGAAGCTGAGAGCAACTATAGGTTCATAAGTGATAATTATGCTTGATAAAAGAAGAATGAAATAAATTGTTGATCGAGAGTTAATAACGTTTAACTAGCCATCTCCTCATCAATAAATTGTCATGCTCACTGTAGTATTTGAATGGAACTATAATTTTCAAACGAGAGTTTTTAGTCGCCGAAGGGAATCAAGACAGGAAGAATCCAATAACTTGTCTTTTACATGACAGATTGTTTGATAGGAATATATTCATCTTGTCTTCTTGCAAACAATTAAGAAGTTAAATGAAAAGAAATTGCATCTGGGATCTGATATGCTAATTTTGGATTGTTATATCATTCAGGACAATCTCTAAGAATTAGTCGGCGAAGGGAGCGGAACAAGTGGAGAATGAACCCCCTCAAAAAAGTAGCATAAAATGGTTTTGAAAATGGTCTTGCTTTTGGTGCTGTTTTGTTTTTAATTAACAAATAGAGAAGCCTTGACTGTGCTCTGTTCTGTTATAAAGCACGCAGGAAGCGGCTAGAGCACGAAAGAAGTGTAGGGAGAAACACGAGACGTAGTCGAGCATTACATTCAATTTTCAAAACAAACTTTATTTCCAAAGCGAACAACAATGTCGTCAGCATGCTCTATACTCTCATAGAGCACGCTAAAAATCCCTGTTAGCATGGTTCAAATAAAATTGGCTCTACAAGACAAAAGCTGTCAAAAGTGTCAAAATGGTAAAAAACCATCAAAGTTTTGCGGTGCTGTTTTGTTTTTAATAATAGTTATAATAAAGTTCGGATATAACGCGCACTGTCATTGGTTGAAAGAGCGTGCTCTATGAGAGTATAGAGCATAGAGCTGAGCTAAAGCTGTCACGCCATCTGCCAAATTGTACTATGTTCGACCTTTTCGAACTTTATTATAATAATAGTTATAATATAAAGTTCGGACTTCTTTTTAGCTTTTTTCCGATAATTGAAAGTGAAGTTTCGGAACAAGCGAGCCGGCAAGTAGCAACAGAAGAACCAAATAAAGGTTTGTAAACATACCAGGCGCCGTAATTTACGTTATTAAAACGTGAGCAGATACGAAAATCCTCAAAGGAAAAACAAAATAGACATTCCGAGTTTTAAAGATTAATTCACGCTCAGTTAGATTGCAAGCTTACGTACGGAAATAAAAATCAAACACAGCTAAAACTCATATAGTATTTAAAGTTCAGTGTTCAAAAACAAAACAGAACAAAACAGAAATGATGAAAAATATAACCAAACTGGCATAACTGTTAAAATTTATTCTAATCATGACGGTGTCTGAGCGAATATGATCATGCTAAAGTCCATCGCGACTCGCTCATCATGGCGATCTCCGGTCATCACAGTAAAGCAAGTCTCAGAAACTATATCGGCCGCCCTTCGAGTGAAAAAATAAGAGCTTGCTCTGATATCCTTTCCGATGCGTTGAGTGGAAAGTCACTGCAGCCGAGTTTTGCCGTATCCCGAGCGATCTTCATGTTTCGGTGAATTCGGCTGTCGTTCATTCAAAAAACACTCGCCTTGAACAGTTTGTTTTATACCTTGTCATGGGAAAAAACTCGCGTGTTTTTATGAGCCATAATTCGGCTGAAGTTCACTGAACATTTCACTTCAAGATTCTGTATTAGAGACTTAAAAACTTCAGGCAAAAGTGTTAAATTCGACTTACCGAATTATTTTAGTTTGTAAACGATCGCAGGAAGGTGAGCTTTGATGGTTTTTTAACTTTGATGATTTGACACTTTTGACAGCTTTAGTCTTGTACAGCCAATCAGATTATTTGAACCATTCTAACAGGGTTTCTGATTGGCTTATTGTTGCGTGCTCTATAAGAGTATAGAGCATGCTGACGACACTGTTGTTCGCTTTGGAGATAAGTTTGTTTTGAAAATTGAATGTAATGCTCGGGGAATTTAATGGATTCTTTATTATAAAACAAATTATCTATTTTTCTCTATTTGTTAATTGGAGACAAAACGGTGCGAAATAAATTACAAAGTTAAACTCAAATATTTCAAGATAATTAGGCATCTCCCACCAAAGTTTAGGTCTGAATAGTTTTATGTATTGGGAGATCGTCGCGAATTCTTTGTTTTTTTCTTTTTAGGTATACTGCAAAGTTTGAAGACTTTATTTTCAGTCTCAAATTCATAGTTTATATTAACACTTAATCTCCACTTTATCAATATAGGTCCATCTTAGTTAAGAGGGATCGCTTGTCGCGTTATGAAAAAGTTTATTAAAGGTGTCTTTTCATTTGCCTAATACTACTTATTAATACCTAATTCATTTTTTGACAGATCAGAGAATTTTCTCCAACAATTTAAATGAAGAAACGTGATTATGGAAGTCTTTATATGGTTTTAATAAGAAAGTAAGGTTTCAGTAATCGCAGCTGGGAGGGTGCTGTACTGACGAAATACATTTCCTTGCCATTACAGATGACCTGAATGAAAGAAAAATGTCGAAAACAAATTTCAGTAGAGAAGGAACACACACCAAAACATTTCATGAACTGCTATGCTCCCCTTCTTTGATGGGGGGACTTCAACTCGAATCAGTTTCTTTCTCAGCGGTGCTAATTCTCCTCTCAATCACAACATTTCTTGGAAATTCTCTTATCCTTGTTGCCCTTCATAAAGAATCTTCCCCTCATCCACTATCCAAACTCTTGTATCGTTGTCTGGCAATAACTGACCTGTTGGTTGGTCTTATTAGCCAGCCCCTCGCTACTAGTCACTGGATGCTCGTGGTTCACGAACACTGGAGTCTTTGTCGCTATGTAAATGGCACAGTCTACATAACAGGCCTAGAATTAAGTGGAGTGTCTTTGATGACAACGGCTGCCATAAGTGTGGACAGACTTCTCGCCCTGTTGTTGGGGCTGAGATACCGACAAATTGTAACTTTAAAGCGTACATATTTCATTGTAGCCGCCTTTTAGGTTTTCGATCTTGTTGCTTCTTTACGCATCATTTTTGATCACCGTATATCCTTACTGTACGGCTACATGATTATACCACTTTGCCTGGTCGTTTCGCTCGCCTCATATCGAAAAATTTTTCCTACTCTCGATATCATCAGGCCAGATCCAGATCCGTTTCAACAACGGCCGAACCAACTAAATGCACTGAAAATGGCCCGATACAGAAAGGCAGTATGCAGTGCACTGCAGTTGGCATTAGTTGTTTGTCATGCACCAATCACTACAGTGGAAATTATAGTCGCCCATTCCAAAACATACACATCACACTTAATCATCACACGGAGAGTAGCAGTTACCTTAGTTTACCTCAACTCGACGTTAAACCCGTTTCTTTACTGCTGGAAGATTAGTGAACTAAGACGAGCAGTAAAGCAGACAATCAGACAAGCACTTTGCTGCCCATGGAGTTAGATCCTCCTCGAGTTAAAATCATATCACAATATTCCGAGTTGACCTGTAGAGTTCGTTCATTATCAGCCAACGCTCGTTGTTTACGTTATTGGATAGGAAGAAATAGGAAGCTAAATAACATAGTTGAACGAGCTGTTTTCGATAATCTTTATTTTAATATGAACGAAGAAAGGACAGGAAAGCGAACCACTCTGAATCACGTCTGAAGAAAAGTGTTCTTGATTCTACGACATTTTATTGTGATCACGATGAATTGTAAAAGGATATTTGCGTCAGCGTATAGAAAAAAATTGACTATTATTACTAGTTCTTTACGAGTTCTCTGAGATCGATCGTATTTATGATATTAATTCTCAACGAGAACTTATGTTGCTGGTGTATACCTATGGTGCATCAAAAAGGTGTTTCCTAGTGCTATTGGTTCTTTGTTTACCACCTCCCACCGACTAAATTTCCTTCACTTTCCCTTTTTTCCATTCTTGGTCGTTTTACAAAGCTTTATTCGAGTTCAGGGTTTCCTAACATACAGTGGGAATATATATATTGATTACCGGCCCTGATAGATGACAGGTTATTAAAATAGCATGCTTTTCATTCATTAAGAAAGAGATTAAAGGGAGTTTTCTTGTCGCACTATCAAACGATAATGAAACCGATGCTTTTAAGTTTGCCGTGTTGACTAACTAGAATTAATTTGTACTGACTTAACTCGAACTTTACGGCGAAAGATAGTTGTTTGCGGCCCATATATTATTGTTTAATAATTGAGCTGAAGTCTGTAATCTGAATATTCAGAGAGAATTTGACCAAAAAATACTCTAGGAATTGATGTGATTGCTGCATTTGTTAGTGATTAAAACCTCTGGTATGTCCATCGGATATTCCCGCGTCAAAGAATGAAATAAGGAATCAAAAATTACAGTATATAGCGTTGGAAAAAAGAAAGAATTACGTGATCAGAAGGAAAGAATTTGGCATTGGATAAAGCCAATCGCATAGGGGTAACTGAAAGTGGGTATTCATGTTCAAACTCAACCGTCGAAGTATAACGAAGTGCATCGACGACTGTACAGGTGGTCACTTTCTATTTGTACTTTGAAAAACACTAACATGATACCTCAATAGGCTGAACAAAGTCAACTCAACTTGGAAAAGCATCTACCTACATTTCCCTCCCTTTATTCGGAAAAGCTTCATCAACTCTAACGCCATCTCCCCTGTTCTACCATCTCATCAAGACCCATAAAACTGGTCCAGATATGAAAATACGACCCCTTATATCTAACACTAATGGAGCAAACCAGCGTATCTCATGGCTGTTCGCCAATGCCCTTAAACCAAAGCTGAAGGACGTCCTAGAAAATCTAGAAAACAGCCTTGAGCTCAAGTGTATCCAAGCCGGCGATTTTACCACCAGTAAAACGCAACCATATCCATGCAGCCTCGATATGGTATCCTTGTTCACCTCAAGACCCGTACAATAAGCCATCACCATCATCATGACCGACCCAAACGATAGAGTTTATACCCAAATACTCCATCCCACCAAACTAGAGATAATAGACCTTCTCACAGTTACGCTAAACAACATGTACTTCTTCTTCAATAGTCGAGTTTTCCGCCAGAAAGAAGGCCTACCTATGGGTTCTAACATTTTAAGCATTCTGGCCATCCTATTCATGGACAGACTAGAAACCATTGCCCTCTCCTCACACCAGTGTCTATGCTTATACTGAGGATATTTTGACGACATTTACCTCGACAACTGGTGAGAAAATGGCAGACCAATTCCACCATGCAACGAATAATCTGCAACTTAAATTGAGGTTTGAAATTGAGAAACCAGAGTTCACAGCAGTGACCTCTCACTTTCACTACTTGACTTTAAAGTCAATTTACTTTCTTCTTTATCACACGGATTAACGTAATAGAACTATAGCTTGCCGTAAGATAATTGAAATATTCTACCACAAATTCCAATTACCGTACAAACTGAACATCTATTTTCATGTCACATTCGCTATAGGAGAGTATGGAACTTACATAATATCAATAACAGCCTGATAGGAATATTCTGTAGAGTCGAATAAACTATTTTCTCACAGTAAGAAATAATAATAATTAGAAAAAGAAACAGTAAATTATCCACTGGCTTCTCATAGATACATACATAAGTACACAAAAGTTTCTATACATATGTATATATATATATATTAACTAAATGGCTTATGACGATATATTCATTTTCCAACACTAAAATAAGTCAAAAACACACGCAGAAAATTATTACTAGATACCAATTTTGCCTTTTTACATATTCTCCCTAATCAGATGGAGTTGTCATCAGCTCCCAATAAAATTTGATTACAGTGTTGAAAAAACCAGCGTTCGTTTTTCTGTTGAGTTGTAAGTTACTAAGCAAACACAGGTAGAAAGCTCAGTCAACTATAGCACAGCGCTCCGTAAAATCCTCTAAAAAGTAAAATCCTTAAAAAATTAATACTAGTCGATCTGGGACAAATTTGTTTTTAGTTACGTGAAGCTAACCAGAAATATTAACCTTTTTAAAAGCTTTCCTATTAAAAATGAACCACCTTTTTATTACTACTGTCACCTACGGTGGCCCACAACTGTCACGGCAAAACAAAGTCACGGCACTACAAACTTTACTCACGGCAAAACAAAATTTACTCACGGCAAAACAAAGAAAACGAGTTGGTCAGCGGTTGTTATTTACATTGGAGATGGTACGTCGTGTAACAGTAACACACTGCTCGCTCGAAAAACCGCCATTTTTCGAGCTCACGATGTTTTGCTCCGCGTGTGGTTCGTTAGTCTTCTATCGTTAAGGTGTGCCATACCGTCCTGTATCCCCCACATGATCCAGGTCCATGGATAATCTCAAGGATACATTTTCTGCCTCTAAAACCTCACCAGAATCATCCGCCTTAAAAAACTCCTTCTCTTGAGTTCATATGTTTTTAATCGCCTTAAAAGTTTGCTGTTACTTATTTCATGGTCATGACGCTTAGCAAGGAAATGAATGATTTCTTCATAACTAACACTGCGTTGAAAACAATATTTGATAATGGTCTCTTCATCAATCTCCACCTCAACTTCATTGCTAGAGTCTTCTTCCTCGTCTAAACGTCAACGTACAAAAATATAGGGATGAACACAGGCCACTTTTTCTACCTTTTAACAAGTACAACACAATACAATACAAAGAGAAAAAATATAATTGACTGACTATTTGCAGGCGTACAATATTTTCTACCTGTTGAAAAATCCTTAATTCATCATTACGAATGTTTTCTTTTTACACACAGGCTACATACATGCACAATCTTATTCCAGATACGTGCTAGTCAGCTAATTTGTAGCTTCTCACGCCTATCGTTATTTGGAACTAAAAGAAATGCGAATACGAACACTTAGAATTAAAAAACGTACCTCTACCACAGCTTTTACAAAAGTTTGCATCTTCATCCACTACCGAACCACACGCGAAGCAAAACATCGTGAGCTCGAAAAATGGCGGTTATTTGAGCGAGTGTGTTACTGTTACACGACGTACCATTTCAAATGCAAATAACAACCTCTGACCAACTCGTTTTCTTTGTTTTGCCGTGAGTTAATTTTGTTTTGGCGTGAATTATTGGTGTTTTGCCGTGACAGTTCTAGGCCACCATAGTCGCCGAACGGCTTTTGTTTGCAGTGCTTCATGTACAATTAGCAATGGGAAAGTCTAATAACCCCTACCATACCTATACTGGTCCGTTCTTCCTCTCTGGGGCACCTGCCCTCCCCCTCCATAATATCCACGATCCCTGGGGTAAAGTTGTGCGTTATTTTGGCTTCCGTAATTTGGCCCATATTGCTGACCATATGCGGGCACTGATTGGTTGTATCTAGCGTCGCCACTGCTGGGCGGTTGATATGGAGAATAGACATATGACGGTCCCTGATTGTGACCATAGTTACTCCCGTAGCTTCCTTGCTGTCTGTAAGAAAGTCCATAACCATTGCCCCTATTCTGAGGCCCAGAGTCGTATGTTCCTTGGGGGCGCCAATGGTTACTGTTCCCCTTGCGAGGACCACCGCCATAATCTCTGCATTGGTCTCCTGGTCTTGGGTGTCCCAGGGGAGGACCAAAATCATTATAGGGTCTCCCAGGTACTCCTTGACTCCCCGGTGGATGAACACGACCAGGCACATTGCTTGAGCCATCTCTTGCATGGTAATTTCCCTGGAAACCTCCACGATCATTATGAGCTGAGTATTGACCTTGTGATCCTCTTGGCAAAGGTACAGAAGGTCCTTGCCGGTCGTTACAGTATCGCTTGAAATCCGAGGATGAACTTTTATCCTCCTTTGGCTTTCGTTTATTCTCATTTTCCTTGAAAGCCTTTCCTTCAGACTGAAACTCGGCTACAAGACGTTCAGAATTATTTTTGTCTTCTTCAATATACCACACTTCCTCAAAAATCTCACCGACTTCAGGTAGCACAAAGTTCGCTTTCATCTCCATGACCGCCGATTCAGGGACAACCTTGCCTTCCTCCTCCTCTCTCTTCAAAGCTCGCTCTTTCAAAACTTCGTTGGTGTTGATAACAACAGCCGCAATCCTGCGGCACTCACGGAAGTTATTCATCTTCCTTCTCCGAGCATTGAAATACACATTGGTCTGATCCAGGATATAATTGCGATTCTTCAGCTCGGCAATTTTTAATGTTTTATTCAGGATGTCAGTAGCTTGTTTAATGAGCGCATCCCACCGTCCGTGATAATTCCGTTTGCGCGTCAAACCCATAACTTTCATCCTGTCCATGATAGAGTTTGTCCCAAGGATGCAGTACTTCTTCTCTGGATGGTCACGGGCGTATTTCTCGGCCCAGACGGTTTTGCCAGCCGCAGGTAGGCCTACCATCATGATAACTTCACAAGCGCTCCTTGACACCGGACCTGCTGAGCCACGTTGCAAACATTGTGGTGGTAGTCTTGAGATGAAGCTAAATCCCTGGAGAGGTGGAAAGTATGGTTCATACTGGCCAAAATTGACCGTAAGGCGCATGTTCTTAACGGTGATATGAGGGAAAAACGCCTTTCCACTTGCTTCAGCACCAAGACGGAAAGCAACACCAAGGTATTTTCCATTTTTGGTGAAAAGCACAACTCTCGGATTAGAATCGAGGTTGATACAGCAGCAAATAGTGTCATTAGTAGAGTATGGCTCACCATAGTCAAAAAACTTGTTGTCTACAGAAACTTTGCCAGTGCCACCATAACCGTAAGACAACTTGTCTTCTCCGACCTAAACAGTGCAACATGATAAAAGTCAGACATGGTTTGAGACTACTCTGGTTTACAGATTTAATGAATGTAACTGAAGAAGTTATCAAGAGGGGCTCTTGATTTAAATGTGTCCAGAAGGGTTCAGGGTAATTTAGAGACAAGTGTCTACCGTAAACCTACCCACACCGACAAATACCTCGCTTTCGATTTTCACCACCCTATTTGCCATAAAACGTCTATAGCCAAAACTTTACTTAGGAGGGCTGTCTGCCATCTCACTCGATTCGAAGGCTGAGGAGAGGAAATATGTTTCCAATGTCATAAAGGCAAATGGCTATACAAAAACCTTTCTCCGTAACTGCCAAAAACCAGTTACAACTAGTAACGTTCTTGATGAAAGGGAACCAGCGAATGGTTTTGCTGTTATTCCTTACATTCAGGGTGTTACGGGACCCATCAAGAGAATTTTGAATAGCCACAACGTTAAAGTTGCGCAAAAACCTTTTCAAACTTTGGGGCATATTTTCGCCAAACCTAAGGATCCTGTCATGAAAGAACAACGAACCGACGCCAATTATTCTATTCCTTGCAATGACTGTGACAACGAATACATCGGACAGACCAACGTCAGTTTAGTACACGGTTAAAAGAGCACCAAAAAGCGGTTTTCCTTTGCAAAAAGGAAAATTCAGCTTTATCGGAGCACACATGCCTAACTAACCATACAATTGGATGGGATAATTCTAAAATTATCACCACTAATCGGTGTTACCACCAGCGCCTTTGTTTGGAGGCTTGGCATATTAACTCCGCCCACGCTCCTTTAAATCGTGACGATGGCGGTTTGCTTCCTGACGCCTATTTACGCCTCGTCAGAAAAAGGCCGCTAATTAGTGATCATATAAAAGGACCTCTTGTTGCAGAGTTTAGATCACCCCTGATGAAGGCACTAGACAGGAGTGTCGAAACGTTGGGTCTATGAATTGTAACTTCTTCGGTTACATTCATTAAATCTGTAAACCAGAGTAGCATCAAACCATGTCTGATTGTCCACCTGGTTGCCGTGTGAACTTCAATATATGATAAAAGTCATTTTGTCGACCAAATCATATTATAAGTCAACTTTCATGAGAGAAGTGCACTTAACCCCTGTTGTATATTGTATATCATATATGCTGTATATAGTACAGATGTAGAAACGAATTTACCGTTAGTAATGATTCGATTTTGTGCCTGGACGCTTATTTAATTCAGGTGCCACAAGGGAGGGTGCTTATTAGGGGCAAGGTGCTCATTTCTCTTGAAAAACAGCAGAATGTGCAAAAGAAAGCTTGGACATTTATTTGAAAAGAATTGAAAAGACTGGAAAACAGACTTGTTGTCCATGGATCCTTCCTGGATAAATTCAGCATATTTTGGCTTTAAATTATTTTTTCAAAAAATAACTTTTAGAAGGAAAAAATCAAGAATAACAGTAACCTGCAGGTTTGCTTCATCTACAGACCATCCAACCCTTACAACATGTGGATTTGTTTCTGTTTCTGGCACTGTTACTGTCAATTTTTCTAGCACACGAACTTCAAAGCATACCTGCAAATCATAAAAAAGATGACAGTAGGAACTTAAAGCAAGGCAAAGCACTGTACTTATTACTTGACAATGAACAAGCTATGTAACATGCATTACAAGAAGTCTCAGCCACATGGCATATTATCCACCAGGACAAGGCACACCTGTCAGGTTGTGATGAACCAAAAGGAATTCTTCTAATGAGACAGAATCATTTTCAACAAAAATCAGTCTGGCCTTTACAATTTTTCCTCCCTTTAGTTATTAAAAATCACTCCTGCATTTGTTTAAATCTCTTTAACAATATTTATTTGGTATTTTGACTTAATAGTTATCATTTTGTTCCATTTAACAAATCGACAATAGTCAAAGTATCAATAAGTCCATTCTGATTATTACGAGCTCATGCTATGGGATATAGATATCACACTGTCAATCAGGCAAAGCTTAGTTGAGCGTTGACTGTCAATAGACAAATTTTATCGGGGCAAGAAATAACACATTCTACAAGTCTTGCATTCAGATAACAATCTGTTTGCTCTTTGCGAGAAAGAAAACTTTTAGCTCACCATTAACTGTTGAGTGATATGGAAAGGTTTCCGTGTAGCACTACATGATTTAACAACTGTTATTAGCATTGTTTTATATAAGCAAATGACTATATGCATAATGATCAATCAATCAATAAACTTTATTTAATCACTGGCAATTGATCAGCTATTAAAAAAAGGATCAAACCATTTTATATATTAATTATAATCAATGTGACTGACTAGGAAGCACTAGGAGTATTTAGCCCTTGGCCAGATCCTATCAGTATAAATTCAGTGTTAGTCATATTTAGAGTAAGTTTGTTTGTGTTTAACCAAGTATGCACATGATTCAAAGTTGCCTACATCATTATCTGGATATGTGATATGCATGTAATTTGCCTAAATACTTGATTCACAGTTTGAAAAACAATTGGAAAGTCATTTATGTATAATGAGAGTACAAGTGGACCGAGGATGGTCCCCTGAAGGACACCCCAGGTTAATACATGCCTGTTAGATAAGGACCCACTAACTGAGCATTGTTATATGCAATTCTCCAAATACAACTGAAACCAATAAGTGAATTCGCAGATATACCATAAAGGTCAAGCTTACATAGAGGAGTGTTTTGCTAAACAGTAACAAGAGCTTTCTTTAGATCTAGAAAAATAACCGCAATGAGGTATGGCGTTATAGGGAAATCTTGCCGCCAATAAATTAATTCATACCAACTGACTAGACCTCCAACTACATCCTTCACACATTGACATTTCGATTTGTGATCGGATATTCCCTTAGGATGTCCAGACACAATTAAGAATTCTCAAAATAACAAAAGTCCACCGAGTTTCCGACAATAATCTTTATGGGTATCCTGCACATATATATACCTTTCCAAATAAATCAATCTTTTTACCTTCCCAGTCCGCACACCGTGAGTTGCCCTCGCTCCAGCCCACATATATTCAAAGCCATCCTGGTGCAAACTGGATCCTGTCACACCACCGGGCTCAACTACAAAGTTCAGGTCACTGTTATAATCATCCAAAACAATGCGAGGTGCATATGAGTTATTCTCAGCCAGGTTACTGTTGTGGCCACCATGATGTCCATCATACTGGTTGTACGATCCATGCTGGCCGTAGTTCTGATTGTATTCTTGCTGATACATGACTAGAAAACGCCAAAACAAAGGATCAAACCAATTTCGTAGCGCCTGGAAGATCCAAGAACGATTAAAGAAAGTCAATATGGCGGCTTTGTCTGATATACTCCGATGAGCACAGCGGTCAAACAACGCGCATGCACGTGAGTTTGAAAATATCAAGAGGTCAGCATTAGATTCCATCCACCAAAACCACCTCGGTCGAGAGGGACTGAGATGGAATATTTAATGACTTGCAAAACATAACCGAAGATTCTCGGAAATCCGCAAGTGATGTAGCCGAACATCCGAAGCTGTAAATCCCATGATTCTTGAGGAACAAACAGAAACAGCATAGCGAGAATTTTAAGTCGCGAATCATTGATGGTAGACATGCAGATAATTTAGGATACGTAAATTCTGTTGATGAGGCGCTTAAACTTATTGCGGAATTTGAAACAGGATTGACGACGAAGTTTTCTTTCTTTAAAGCTGTCAAAGGTTTCGGGAACATATATTTATATATATTTGATATAGCTCTTTAGCATTACAAAGCTTTGCTATCGCTATTGTGCATTCTCACTAGTTTGTCTAGTTTAAGTCCTCTGGCATGGCTTGGATGATACCACAATCGTGGAATCATTCGGGTTAATTTAATGCTTACACCTCCTTCCTCGGACAGAAGTCACAAAATACTGGGGGAAGATGCATGAGATATTTAAGGAGCAAAAATTCGTTTTTTACTGGTGTGCCTTTCCTAATTTTGGGAAGGAAAGTGTTCAATTGCCAGCACGGCATAGATTGAACAGCTGGAGAGAAAAGGAAACGAAAAGATACAGAAGAAGTACTGTATATAATAATTTCTTTTTATCCTCAACCTTTGTGTTTCTGTCAACTATGGCTTGCTAATTTGAAAGGTCAAATACATGAATGGGTCATATGACATTGATCTCAGAATACTTTTATGACAAACGTGATAACAGTTCAATCTTGGCTAAATTGAAGATGGTTTAGAAGTTAACAATTGTAAGAACTTTTCACTAACATATGCTGCTGACAAAGGAGAAAATATATGCAATTCTGCATTTTTTGCATTCTATCAAGCAATCATATGTTTGCTCCTTATCACGCTATGACACTTCCGTTTTGTCACATTCCAAAAAATGACTTGAGAAATACACTGTCACTCATCTTACACTGTTATATTTACCTATTACAGAAGGCTGGAAACAAAGATTTTGTTTTCAAGAAAATAAGATTTCTTGTCCAAGACACAAGGAAGTTTGACTGCGAAGCACAGATAAAAATGCGAGAAATTTTATTTTTTTCAGAGAACAAGGTAGTTCTACTCATGTATAAACAGAACAAATGCGATTTAATAAATCAGATATGCGGCATGACTCCTTTTCTTCCATCCCCACTCAAAACAAGCAAACACACCTATAGAGGTTCCAGTCTGGTCTGCAAATGAAAAGGAGGAAGGTGATCACTGCAAAATTAAGCATTAGGGTTCTTATTTATAACATATTGATTATTGTATACTGATATCTAGAAATTAAGGTTGCAAGTAGCAGCCAGCTGAGTTATAGTTTGAGTTTTATCAAGTCCATTACTTTGTTAAATTTAGAGTAACCTTGACTTGAGAGAGGAAAATTGAGGAGCTGTAATATACTAATCATCAATTAGGGACCACAAAGAAAAATTTATTTATAGAGACTTTTGAAGGAGAGGGGTAAGACTTGTGACAAGCTGGCAGACATATAGATAAACTTTACTGCGAAATGGGTTACAATACAAAGTGCTCAGTATTTGGATCAGCTATGGCTCAACTTAAACTTTGCTTTAGCTTCAAGTTTAATCCTTTGTGGTTTCCTTTCTCTGTGTTTATTTTTCAAGTTATGTACACAGAAGAACACAAAAATGACAAGGAATGCTTTTGAATATCAAGAGGCTGGAATAAGCAAGAAACCAAAACTGAATTTTAAACAGTACAAAGTTAATTTGATCTTCCAATGTTATTTAATTTTAACCATAGAATTTGCTATTTAAATTTATCCCCTCCATTTCTCTGGGTATTGTGAGCAAAAACAAACAATTATCACAAAATGCATGGTATACAATGGTTTGATTCACCAATGTGACAAAGGCCTTTCACTGTCTATCCATAAAAAGGGAAATAGTTTGTAAACTGTTAGACATTCTGCATGTTGAGTGTATACTTATTCATCCATGTGAAATTAAAGGTTACTTGAAATAAATGTGAAAGATTTATAGGATTTTCAGACCCCTGATAACAATTACTAATGTGCTGATTTGTTGTACTTAAAGGTTATGATTTTGGCGGAAATAGTGGAAGAAATTTCTGGACCTGGAATTTTGTTGCAAATGTTTGTTTAAATCAGTTTAAGTCAGTTAAAAACTCTCCTGTTTCAAGATTACATGATTACCACACCAGAACCTTTTGTATTCTATATTATGCACCATGTTATGATTATGGTTTCAATAATAAAAGGTGCTGACTCAAGAACTTTCCAAAATATCTCTACATACAAAGAAATAGATTGTGGTTATGTACTCCAAATAGCAGGTCACATCAGTCTTCTGTAAGGAAGTAGCAGAAATTTCTGTGGTGGTTTTGGTGGATGGAGAGAAACATCCACCAAAACCACTTTATTCTATGTGTTAAGAGTTATGATAATCATTATGAACGTTTGGTCGGTCAGCAATTGTGCACCATAAAAAATAATTAGCCAGAGCACTAACTGCTAATTAGTGGTATAAATATTTTGTCTCCCTGAACATCTAACAATGGCTATAGATAAAATTTAAAAAATATATTGTTGATGGTTTTGGTCAAAGTTTTGGTGGATGTTCCCTAATGACATCCACCAAAACTACGTAACATCTAAGCACCTTTTAAATACGTGAAATATCTGCATAAAATTGCGTAAAATGTTTTATAATACTACAATCGAACAATAAATTAATACTTACCATTTCTTTAGTAAAAAGTTTTGACGCAATTTCCCAAACAAATAATACACTTGGGTCATCGGGATGAGTCGGCATGTTGTCGTAGCTTCGTAATTTTTTTCCATCATTCCATCTCAGTCCCTCTCGACCAAGGTGGTTTTGGTGGATGGAATCTAATGCTGACCATATCAAGAGGGGTGTAGCATAAAGTTAATATGGTCGGGAAAAGGAGATTAATTTAAACTCCAAACTATTCTAAAGCGTAAGACAAATGGAAAAAGATTTTGGAGAAAAGATTAACTCTTGTCTTTATTTTATAGTGCGATATCCCAACTGTTGTTAAACGCGGACGCTTCGTTTCGGTGATAAAGGAAAACCACAAAACCTTCTTCCACACTACTTGCTGCACTGTCTACTGTCCGCTATAAACATAGACCTGTGATCGTTACAAATATCTCGTGTGTTTCTAGTTCTCCCTGTTTTTTACACATTTTCTTCGGCGTTTACCGGCAACTCCATTGAGAACACAGCAAAGAATAACTACAGCCAGCCGACGGCCAAGTTCACGGACGACTTCATCACGCCGCCGTGCAGAGTGTTAAAAAAGGCACGAAAGTATAAACTAACGCATAGTGGGTAAAGTCCAGAACAACAATGTGTATTAGTCTTGGCCTCAGAAACTTCGAACTTTCCCTAGAAACTGCGGAAAACAACGTCTCACTTAGTTCTTCATGATTACTGTTATGACATTATTCCCTATGGTGCGCATGTGCAATCATTTTGACCGCTGTGTTAGTCCCATGAACCGTTGGGAGCCCTGACCAATAGCAAAGGCGGAATTTTTGAAATCTGACAACTGTAAACTGCTAAAAGGCAGAGAGGAGTTACTACTGTCACAGCACTGAGACCATTTTGCGCCTCTTTTTCGAACATGGGCGACCTCTCTACGCCAGTGAGCCAAAGATTTGGAAGTCGCTTATGCGAGGAGGCCGAAATGTCACCCTACAATGAGTCTCCTTTCATGATTCCTCCATCTCCTTTCATGACACGACTCGGTCATGGCACGGGTGTTTCGGTTTATCGATTCAAACGCGAACCGAGCAACAACAGCATTAGATCGCCTTGGGCCGTGAAAAAAGTAAATAAGAAGGCAAGATCAGGGATAAGCGAACGACTCGCTCTAGAAGCAAGCATTTTGAGACAACTGAAGCATCCAAATATTGTCGGTTTTCGTGCCATCTCGGGGAGTGTGGATGGCGATCTCTGCCTTGCAATGGAAGACTGCGAGAGAGCTCTCGAAGACATTATCGAAGAAAAAGCGTATCTGGAAGAAGATTTCACTTACGATGAAATGCTGAAAGTTTCTTGGTCTGTTGCCAATGCCTTGAGTTATATACACAACGAAAAAAAGATCCTCCATGGCGATATCAAAAGTGGTAATGTTCTTATAAGGGGTGATTTTGAGGCTGTCAAACTGTGCGATTTTGGAGTGGCGCTGTGGTTGAATGATGATCTGAGCGGACTGAAAAATCCTGGAGGTAGATACATCGGCACAGAGCCGTGGAAATGTAAGGAAGCTTTGAAGGGGGGAGTTATCACAGATAAGGCAGACATCTTTGCTTATGGTTTATTAATCTGGGAGATGCTAGCTTTGAATGTACCTCATGTGGACTTGCTTGCAGGTTAGTGAGACAAAATGAAATGAGTTTTGCTTCATCCAAACTTTTGGAAGTAAAATTTGGACCTTTTTTTTTTCGCTGTAACTTTACAATCAATAAGCCGAACTGTTTTTTCAACTCGCCCTTCTTGCTCATTGGATTTGTAATACTACTCTGACCTTGATGCTCGGTTCAAAGCACCTCCATTTAGGAGCATAAGACAAGTTTAAGGGTTATCCAAACTTACGATCATAACTTTCCATTTTTCTCTTGGAAAGATCTCCATATAACCCCCTATTGTTTGAACACAAAACTACAGTCCCAAATACAATCTATAGTTTTTGCCATAATGGGCTTGGCGGAAATCTTGCCCATTTGTTTCCTAGGTGGAAAACAACTTGGCAGAATTAAAACTATTTCATCGCTTTTAACGTCCACCAATAAAATTAGAAAAGGGAATTGCACATTTTTATCAAAAAAACTCCTAGATAGCTGATTTTAAGTTTAGTTACTCTGAACACCATTTCTTTACAATGTTCCATATACATGTACTGAAAGTTACACCATCTGTGGGTTAAGTTACACACACCCCCTCTTTAAGAGGAAAACCTCAGTGGAAATATTTTTCATTCAAGAGAAGTTGACTGCCATTCCATTTTAGAACTGCTTAAATGGTGAAATTTAAAATATTTCATATCAAGCCCAGTCATGGATTTTTGGAATGAGGAGACCCTAAATTTTTTAAAATATAGTAATCTGATAAAGGGGTAAGTTTCTAAAGAAACTGTGGTGCTGTGTCGGTGGGAGAGTATAGCAGGTAATTTAGTGTTAACAACTGGGTTGAAAACGTAAATTAGCCACCGTAAAGGGTAAAAAAGCTGATGTTTTGAGCGTTAGCCCTTCGTCAGAGCAATGGACGAAGGGCTAACGCTCGAAATGTCAGCTTTTTTACCCTTTACGGTGGCTAATTTACGTTTTCAACCCAGTTGTTAACACTAAATTACCTGCTAGTAATCTGATAGTTGACTTTACAGAAAATGGCAAATAGAGGCTGTTTATTTTTATCTAGTGAAAAGTGGGTGAAAATAGCTGGCAAGCTGTAAGATCTAAAATGATTAAAGTAAGACACAATTATTCCCAAAATCTCACCAGGGGAACAAAACTAATAGAATTCAACAGAAAGGTAAACCTGCAGATAAGAATATTTCCAAAATGGATGTACATCGTAAACAAGAGCAAGTAACAATTTTGTTATGGACTTTATGTAATGTCCGTAACAAAAAGAGTCTTTTTTTGCTTTTCTCTGAAAATAAAATTCATTTTTTTGTAAGCTTGGCTCCTTTTTTGTTTTTAGGGGCCCAAACTTAAGTGCAGTAAATTATCAAAATCCTGGAAAAACACTGAAAAAAATGAAGCCCACTTTATGTTGCAGACATTATGTTATGGACATTACATTATGGACGTTACCTTACAGACATTATGGCTGCATGGCTTTTATTATAGTAATTCTTTTGGGAGGAATAAATGCTATATGCAAACCAGTTTTGTTCAAATTTATCACATCCAAGTTTACGATGCTTTTAACTAAACACTAATAACAATAACCATAACAACAACTACATACATAACATTAGCAACACTATGGTAACATGAGGAGTATAAATTTTCAAAAAGTTTAAGTCCAACTGTGAATTAAGTTTACTGAAAGACATATGTTCAGAGTCGGTAATTTTTTTTAAAATATCCATAAGAACAAAATTGAAAAAAAAAATGCAATGTTTCAGAAATTTAGCTTAAAAAAAGTAATACTTCAACTTTCAAAGGCCATTGCACTGGTAATGACTGTCTTCATACTACAGCAAAAATTGTTAATTCATACAGTTCATTGCAGTGTAACTTTCTGAAATAGTGTCAACTGGCTTATTAAGAGTCAATGGATGGTGCTCTGACAAGAAGTTCAGAACAATACAATTTCAGTAATTAATGCAATGTTTAACTACTGCAATCTGTGGTTAGTTGGTTTAGTAATTTGAAAACATTTTTATTGTGTACTATCTGTAACAAAAATTGTCTAACATCCGCAACAACAAGTTTTTACCTCAAACTTTAAATCTAATTACAGAATAAGGGATACAACTAAATTTTAAAAAGTCACGGAGCAGCTTTGTTCTTATTATTATTACTTGATTTTTGTCTGAATAGTCAATTCACAGGGAAAAAAGTGTCAAATGAACACATAAAATTATAGGTTGACTTTTTTGTAATGTCTGTAATAGAGTTCAAAACAAAAACATTGGGAGCCTTTGGTAAAGAAAGGAAAGTTTCTTTTCTGCTGATAATCTAGTACCCTGTGAGGATTTTTTGGACAAATTATAAATTAAAAACTGTGCAATATAAATTTTGTTAAGGAAATTTGTTTCCAAAAAATTGGTCTCTGAATGTAATACCTGTAACATGGAATTGCCCTTTACAATGTTCCGTATACATGTACCTGTACTGAAAGTTACATGTACATCTGATCATCTCTGGGTTCAAAACCCCACCCCCTCCCCTCTTTAAGAGGAAAACGTCAGTGGAAATATTGTTAATTCCAGAGAAGTTGATATTTTTTTTTTTTTTTTTTTTTTTTTTGTGGTGGCCATAATTAAAAACACACTATCACTAAATGATCAGAAAATCATGAAAGCAAAAGAAATGATGAACTGGTTAGATGAAAGATGTAATGAAATTGATGGTTGGTAAATTAACTGATAACTTTTTTTCCAAGGGTGTAAAATCTACATGAATACTGGTACCTAGGACTAATGGTTTTTTGGCATGGTTACCTAATGTTGAAATTTTGGGGACATTAAACTCTTAACTTAAACTACTCTGTGTAAGTGATATGACTTGACTCATAACTGTAGGGCTAGAAATCAAATGATAGCTCTGAAAAATGTCAGAAGAGGACTAGATTTTGTTCACAAAATTTTGACCACACCCTGGTTTTGAATAAGTTTATTCCTCCGATGTTACAAAGTTCCATAATGTACATGTTTATTGTCATTTGTTTGTTTATTTATTTGTTTTTGGTTTTGTTTTGTTTATTTCAGACAGCGATGAAGAAACTGACACAGGGTTGACCAGTGATGATGAGGAGGATGATGGTGCATGTGACACAGAGGAATACCTGGCAGCTTTAGGCACACGTCCCCCATTACCTGCCAAGTTTGAAAATGCAAATTCAATGCTTCCAGTCATTGAATTATTTCACTGCTGCACCTTTGAAGACCCTAAAGAGAGACCAAGTGCTAAAGACATTGTGGCAGCTCTAAAACCTGAGATCTTAGCTAATGATATCACAATTTCAGAGTAAAGGGTAAAAAAGGAAAACATGTTTTGCCTGTAACAAATATAGACTTTTAAAGGACTAGTAATCATTTTTTTAATGCACAAAATTTTTGTGGAATGACTTAACACTGTAGATACTATAGTGCATTATTACATGATGACTAGAGGAGAATGAAACTCATCTGGAAGCATTTATTTGATGTTAGATTTCATAGTCGGAAGCTTTTCATTTAAAATATAGTAAATTGTAATAGACACAAGTTATTTATATTGAGTATGGTCTGTTGGCCTATATTGAATGCACAATAAGGACCTTTCCTGTGCCAGCAGACAAAACTAGAATTGTCTTAACAAAATCAAAGGACAAATTTTGCCATGACAAATGTTTGTTGCAGTAGTTAGAAAAAGCAGGTTCTAATGTTTTTTTTTTCAGTCAACCTTGATTTTAAAGGCAAATCATGAATTTAACCTTGAAATCAAGGTTGACTTGAAATCTTCAAAATATAATAAAATATAGTAAATTGTAATAGACACAAGTTATCTATATCGAGTATGGTCTGTTGGCCTATATCAAATGCACAACAAGGGCAGAATTGTCTAAACAAACAACTGTTTTGCCAGTACAGAAAGGCTCTAAATTAAACACAAGTGCCAAATGTAGAGAGTAAATAGGACTATAGTGTTAATAATTAAACAACTAGATGGTCATTTATGGCATCTCAACCTCAAAAAAAAGATGACGAAGTTATTGGAAAGTGTTTAGACTGCTTTGTAAGCTATCACATGAAGAAACAGGTGAAAAAAATACTTCTATGGTGCATTGAGTAGTTTTTTTCAGAACCCTTTAATCTCCAAGATCTGATTGTTAATTCTCCCCTCTAGCTGCTACTTATATCCTTCTGAATTTGGTGTCAGCTTGAGAAAACAACTTCAACCTGACAAGATTGAATATCCTCATGACCTGTTAGCTGGATAATGTTAACTTATTAGAGGGATAAGTTACTTATTAATCATTTCTGGGAGTTAAAAACCTCATGGAAATCTGTAGTCTAGTTTACTGGAACATAGAAGAGAATAGAAAAAAGAAGTCAGAACAATATAGGGGAAAATGAAGATTTTTCCCTTCTGTAACCATTACTTGACTTTTGGATGAATGTTTAAAGATGAATTTTCAGGCACAAGTTTATCACAAGAAAAAAATGTGTAGAATTTGGACCTTTTCAAACTTACTTGGGCATGAAAATGCAGCAATTGTGGGCAATGACAAATCGGAGTACCCTCCCCGTTTTCCTCCCCTCGAAGAAACACTCCCCAGGGGGTCATATAAAGAAAAAGTAACTAACGAAAAATCACGATGAATTTTGTCAAATGGGATTGGCAAAAAGCTAGCTTCACTATTTTCTTGCCCCACCTATCTTATTTACAGCAATCACTGATAATTTTCCGCCTTCTAAGGCAACTGAGAGGTACTCGTACATTTCCACTTCTGTACACACACCAATGCTCCACTTCACCCCTCTCTTCTACTTTATTCCCGATTGAGCCCGCAAACCTTTAAAGACAACAACAAAATTTCACGAAAAATGGAGGACCATCGAACGGTGAAAATAGATAAAATATCATTTGCTAAAGAACACTCGTTTAAGATTTTAAATAAGTTGCATTTATTACGGAAAGAGAATTCGATGTGTGACGCAACTTTGTCAGTCGAGGGCAAGAAGTTCCCTGTTCATCGAAACGTTTTGTGTGCCTCGAGTGCTTATTTTCAAGTCATGTTCACGAGCGGAATGGCAGAAAGCTTTGCAGATCATGTCGAAATTCACGGTATTCAAGCCGATATCTTTGATGCAATCCTCGATTTTATCTACACTGGTAAAGTGGAGGTCAGTGAGGATAATGTCCAACAGCTTTTACCGGCATCAAAGATGTTACAAATCGAAGACATCGAGGTAATTTGTTGCGATTTTTTGAAACATGAACTCGACTCATCGAATTGCGTCGGGATCTATACGTTTTCAGATGCGCATTCTTGTTTTAATTTATCAAAATCAGCATTGGATTTCATACACCGAAACTTTGTCGAAGTTTCCAAACAGGATGAGTTTTTACAACTCACTAAGACTTCTTTGCTACAAATGTTAGCATCAGAAGAGCTGAAAATTGAATCTGAGGAACAGGTATTCGAAGCAGCTATGCGGTGGGTAGTGCATGACTTATCTAGAGGAAGAGAAGCTTTGGGAAATATTCTGGAACAAATCAGACTTCCTTTGGTCTCCCCTAAATTCCTTGAACAATACCTTGTCACGTGTCAGAGTGCAAGCATTAAAAGAATGCTCGCAGGAATTCTCGATGGGTACCGAAATTACCAATCATTAGCTAGAAGCCAACAGCGGGTGCACACTCAACCAAGAAGGGCCTCAAGAAAGTGCTTTTTTATCATTGGAGGTTACAGTCGGACAGTGGGAGGGCGATGGAGTGATACGTCCTCTCTTTACACTGTTGAGAAGTTTGACTCCTTTTCACAAACCTGTGACAGCTTCACCACAGCACAGATGAGCTTTGCACGTAGTGGGCATGCTGTGGCATCAATTGGAGGGCTGATATATGCTATTGGTGGTGAAAATGATTCTTTGATATATGATACTGTGGAATGCTATGACCCAGTGTTAAATTCATGGTCAGTTGTTGCACCTTTGACTGCACCCAGGGTAGCGTGTGGTGTCTGTGTTGTTGAAGACTTTATTTTTGTGATGGGTGGTTGGGTAGGGTCAGAGATTGCAGAGAATATTGAAAGATATGATCCAGATCTTGATCAGTGGGTAGTTGTTGGTAAGGTGGAAACAAAGAGGTTTCATCTTGGTGTGGCTGAAATGGATGGATTAATTTATGTGGCTGGTAAGTTCATTGTCATTTTTTATTATTATTTGTGTTGCTCAATTATGTTTGAACAGGGTTTTTTTTATGGATTTCATCAATTCACAACCTTCAATATCGAATCATGCAGGCTGTCATAATATCAGTTTTATATAACTATCTTAAATTTACAAATTTAAAGCAGCAGTCATTTAGTTAGAGGTAATTTTTTTCCTTCAATTTCACATTTATACCATTTGTGATCTTAAGCAGATGATACAGTCAGGAAAAAGTTAATTTGAAGTTTAGGAGTTGGAGAAGTCTTCTAGTTTAATGACCTTCCATTATCAAATGAATGTTAATTATTCTTGACTAGTAATAAACCATGAGATCTAAGAGTGGGTCACTTTCAGGTATTATTTGACTGTGTAAAGAAAGAATTGACACATGAGGCGTAGCCAAGTGTGTCATCAATGTTTTGCCACATTTTAATATCTTTTTTTGACAGATATTCATGGAATGTATTTGTTTCATATGTCAAAAAAGAAAAATGCTGTCAGTGGTGATCTCATTTATGTGTCTGTCCTCCAATAGGTCAAAAGTAAGAACCAATTAAAATGGGTGTAAATTCTGCTTATGATATATATCCTTATATGATTTTTAAGGTGGTTTGAGTGACCTAGGAGAGGAACTTAAAGTGTTTGAGTGTTACAACCCTGTCAGTGATTCCTGGATGAGGCAGCCAGACATGCGTCACAGAAGGGCTTACCTGGGACTTGCAACATTAGGTAGCGTCTTGTATGCCATGGGTAAGTAAACACCAAAGGAAATAGTTAAAAAAGGTATACATATATTTTTTATTGGTAACCAACAATATGGGTGGTAACAAAGAGATATTCCAGGTAATAGCAGTTTGACTTTGTGTACAGTAAAAGATTGCCTCAATATACAATTACATGTAACTGATTTTTTCAAATTTTTGTTACTGAAAAATTTTACAGCAGATGCTCAGATCACTTTAAGATTCCTGTCATTTGATTCTTTTATTGTCTTTACATGTGTGTTCGACCAGTTTCTCTCAACCCTTTAACTCCCATGAGTAACCAAGACAGAATTTCTCCTTACAATACATTGTGATACAATATATACAATATATTTACAATATATTTACAATATATACAACATATTTCTCAATAAAATACAATATCAAGTAGACAGGTGATGAGAAAAAAGAAAAATAATTAGGAGATTATTAGTTGATCCAATACCAAATTCTCCAAACTAACATCACAAGAACTGTTTGGTAGACAGTAGGGAGAATTACCTATGAGATCTTGGGATTGAAAGGGTTAATTTGAGTAGAGAGAGAGTGAATTAGTATTCTTCATATTAAATTCCTTTCAAGAAATACACTTTGAAACCATCCAAGGCATGTTCTTTTAAAATAGTAGAGAATATTCTTTTGACTCCACAATAGTTGACCCTTATTGCTCTACTTCAAGCTAAAATTTTATTTTTGTGAATTTTTATGTTGTGCTCAAAGCAAAGAAAATGAATCAGCATTGACATAAAAATTCTTAAAATTGTTGGCCTTTGCAAGTAAGGTCTCTAGTCCTTTGGTATTTAGAACAACCTATATACAGGGGAAAGATGTTTTTTCATCTTGTCACAAGCATGAAACAAAGAACAAATCCTGAGTCCCAATGGGGAATCAAACCTCAATGCTTAAAAACTCACCATCTCTCTTATTCTATTTACAAACATGAGGCTATTAACATTGCTGATCCTGGTTGTATGCAGGACCATCTCCTTGGCTCAGTGGTAGAGCTTATTCTAAGTTCTGAGGTGAACTATTTCTTCTTTGTCCCAAACATGTAAAAACATCTCTCCCTATTTCTTTACCAAGCTCAAAATTTACCATCTCTGTTATTCTATTTACATATTCTTTTTTTTCTAACATTTACAGCTGTAACAGGTCCTGCTTTGTCAATTGTCCAATGAATCAGAAGGAGCCTTGGCTAGTGTCGAAAGGTTTGACCTGGACACAAGTCAATGGACAGATTTCCCATGGTGCAATTGTTGTATTTTTTTTATTTCTCCACCTTCACTTTAACAGCAGTTTAAATCTATCTTTCTCTTCTTTTTGAACATGGTCCTCTTGAAAAGGAGTGTTCAGAAAGCCAAGAGAAATTCTCTTCTGCCATTTTTTTCCAAATAACAGATGAACAGTAATTTTGTAAGCATGAGCACCATAGAAATTATATTTCTGTCTTCAGTTTCAATTATTGTTTGCATTTTGTTTGGTCTGCAGTTTCTGTCTGTTTGATCATTTTATTTCTTTACTTTTAAATCTATCTTTTCTCTTTTTTTTACTGCTTCCTTTTTGCTTTTGTTTGGTCGTTTCTGTCTGTTTGATCATTTTAATTCTCTTTATTTTTTTTTTGCTGCGTAACGGTTTCGCTATAATGCATTGAATTACGTTCTTCTTTATTCAACAAACTGCAACTTCTCTCCTCATCATTACAGAAGGAAAAGGCAAGATCTCTATGGAAGATTTTCCATAATAACACCGGGCCATTATTCCTGACGTGATTACTTATGTTCTTCTTTACGTGCTGATACCTATTTCAAATGGAATTGTGACATATATAAGTACAGACCTTCTCGTTTCAGTTATGCGATCTTCTTTTGGACTTATCGACCAATTCAACGGTTCTCTTGGCGTAATCACATGCCAGAGGTATTTGATAGTTCCTTGACAGTTCAGATTTTGTGATGTCAAAAAGAATCCACCGGAATATTGCAAATTAATTTTCGGAATAAATCCATTCCTTAGTTATTGTCGTGGATAATTTCCTGTGAGTACATTGTGCCGACCAGAAATTTAAAAATGTTATGTCTTGTTCGATTTGGAAAAAGGAAAAATATTTAAACACGAACTGAAAAGTTGTCAAGAAAATACCTTTAAATATGAAACATAAAGTTCGAGAATCAAATGCAACTCTGTTTTTGGAAGTCTTTTCTTGTTAGAGATCAAAAGGAAAAAGTTAAACTTAATAACTGCTTCAATTTAATGATCCCTTGTTATTTTTTTTTTCGTTGTAAAGTTTATCATGCGGGCCTAATATTGTAAGCTTGAAGTCTTGTTTTCAATACGATTTTACCCGTGGGCATATTTCCAGTTTTTTTCACTTTAGCGAAAAAGGAGAAGATTTAAGAAGATGTTTGGCAAGAAATCATTTTTTAAAGAACGGCTTAATGAAAATTGCAGATTGAGCATTTATGGTTCAATGTCGTGATCGGTTGAGTCAATTATGAAGTACGGGAAAAAGGTAATTTGTAAACTTTTAACACGATATTGGCAATATGCCCTTGCTTTGAAATAATTTGTTTTGTAAGTCAAATTCCGACTGGCAGCTGTTTTCAAAAGAATGAGAAGCCGCGCCAGTAAAAATGTTGCTATATGAAACGAGTGCAGTAGAAAACGACGAGTGTAGAATTCTGTCGTGCCGAGGAGACTTGAGTTGGGGTATCAACTGCTGAATTGGAGAGATTTGTTCTCAACGAGTTTTCAACGGTGCTCTTGGCTTAAGAAGGTAAATTTTCAAAACCTACGATTCAAGTAGCTGTAAGTTAGTAGCCGGTAAAAACATCTTCAAAGAAAGAAAAACCTTTGCAAGTTCTTACCAACTGATTTATTAGTTTCGAATGATTTACAGACTATTTTTTCACTGGTATATGTTGCCCTGATCTGGGATATCTGGAGTATGTTTTGAATTTTAACAAATCCCTTAGTAAAAAGTACACAAGAAATCTTTATTAGAGTCTTTGAAGTGCCAAAGGAACGCAGTTCTTGTAATTCAGCAATTCGTAGACACATAAGCCAGGGCTTTGAGTATCCATCGTGTTTCTTTCATTGAATCTTGAGAGGTAGATTTTTAGAGGACGACTCTTCCAGAAAAAAAAAAGCAACAACCCACAAACACTACCAGTAGGTTGTCGTTTCCAGTTCAAATAAATGGTAGATTCTTAATTGCTGATAAATGCAATTAAAGATAAAGAAAGATCCGGCTTAGAAACGTGATAATCTTTATAGCAGCAGTAACTAAATCTTACTTGGGGAGAGAAAAAGGGGAAAAAGAAGAAGAAGAAGGCGAAGGAGGAGAAGCGTAGAGACGTCACTTGACAAAGTAAGAGAGAATTTGTTTGCTCGTTGTTTCGAAAGAGACGTTTGGGAGGAAAATGCTTCCGTTAGCCTCACTTATCAAACCGAAAATTTCATTAGGAGATACATTTAGACGGAGGAGGTCTTGTTAATAATATTTGAAAAGCTTATACGTTACTTACAAAGTGATTCGTAAAATTAAGAATTAAAATGGAAACGTTCATTAGCTGGTGTGATTACATGTTCAAGTGTCGGATTCAGTGATATCAGTTAAGCAATATCGATCTGCTCTTTCACAATTGAGCGCATCAATCGGAATTGCATGGAAACAAACCAAAAACATTTGTATGTAATCTACTCCCGAAGATCTCCGTTAAACTTTCATTCGATAGTATATTCAAGAACTATTTCCTTGGTTACATACTGATTTCGCCAAAATGCTGATCATTTGGCTCAGTACAGTGACAGAAGATTAAATTCGTACGCTTTTGGTAGCAATAGATAAGAGAAATTGCAAACACCATTCAGGTAGCTCAGTAAAGGACAAAAACTCTGAAATGGCTTTCGGCTATTTTCTGAGTTAAATATGAATGAGCGCCCATCATTTTTGGAGTGTTGTTTTGTATTAAAAGTTTACCCTGGCAAGTGTCACTCAATACTGAGACTAAACCGTACGTAATTACATAAAAAAATCCTAGTATGAGTAAAAAGCTGTTGTAAAGGGAAACATATATAATTGAAAAGAATTGAATACAAAAAGTCGACAAGGCTTGCTTGATATAGAACCATATTCTCACTAAAAACATACGTAGCAGATAACCCGGTGCAATATAGAGAGTTTAAAATTGATCAAAGCAGAACGGTCAAGGACAAATCATTTCTCTGAACTGAATTAAACTCCTACATAAAATTCATCCTGCAGTCTGGGAAAGAGATAATAATTACAATGAGGAACGCCTCTGTAAATATCAAGCGGAAACTGTCAAAATAGTTATTAAGATGAACAAGCTAAAGGATGTTAAAATTGGATCCACACTAGACGATTAAAAAACAGCATCACTGTGCAAAATGTTTAATGGAAAACTTACGCGAAATGCTAGCAGGGAAGGAAACGGATATCTTCCATTCCGGTAGCACAGATTAAAAAAAAAACAAGTAATACTAATGAAAATGACGAAAAGTGGGCTCCAATATCCGGACTAACAGGTGTTTATGAGGACTGTTTATGAGGACTGTTTATGAGGACTGTTTATGAGGACTGTTTATGAGGACTGTTTATGAGGACTGTTTATGCATCCATGTGCTGGAAAACAAACTTGTATTTTCAATCTTACCACTGATTGCAGTCAAGCACAGTTCAGGTTTGCTTGGTTGACTTTTGACAGCTATTTCTGTGAGCTAGAGAAAATCAGTTACGGTAAGTGTGCTGTTAGTTCGCTTATTTCAATTATAAAAGCGATAAAAATAGAATTATTCCTAGTATTGCAAGGCTAAATTCAACAGAAATGAATGAAAAATCAAATCCTAAACTAAATGTCATTAAAGCGCGACTAAAAAACTGCCTTAACTGACTGGAACACTGTTTAAGTTATTCACTTGGTAAGCCTGAGTTCATGAACATTTTTGTATCCTCGAGTTAAAAATAACCAAGAAATAGCCAAGAATACCATTTTCGACTTTCAACCAGAAAAGATGAAAATGTTTTTAAAATGTACGTTATTTGCCCAATGCTAGAAAAATACAAAGGTAATCGGTTTTCGACTTAATTTCCTGTAAGTCCAGAAAGAAATTAAATGAGAAGGTTTTTGATCAGTGCTCATTTTTCTTGATATCGAAAGTGACACTGCCTTATCGTTTAATTTTTCAATTTTCATTTGTTTCAATTCCTTAAATGCGCTTATTGCTTCCTGTAACTCCACGTGGTCATTTCGTCGGGTTTGAAGGAGAGAATTTGCGTAATGCGAGGAAAGTGGTTCAAATTTCAAACTAAATTCAGTTTCTTTCTGATTAGAAATATGTTTACTCTTGATTGCTACGCCAAAATTAAAGTTTGCTTATCATGTCAAACTTCAATCTCAAACAAACTAAAAGGAACATTGTGGCCACTTCGCACTCTCTCTTCAATGCATTGGCGAAAAAAAAAATTGGAGATGAGGTGCACATGTTTAGTGTTCCTGTTAATCTGTCCGAGATTGCCGCTCGAATTACGATCAAACCTTTAGTTGAAAGACAGTTCCGAGGAGACTCGTAGTTGATAAAATTTGGCATATGCCAATCAATCATTCAAAAGCTTTTACACAAGTCGGAACTTTTGAAGGTAACTGAATATAAATTATTTGACTCTTATCTTAAAATATTATTCTCTGAGTAGTAGAGCGCTGAAGTAACATGACCGATTTTCCGGCGTAAGATAACTTCTTTATCTTCGAAATTATTCTATGAATGACCGTGAATTTCAATGACGAACGGATCTCGTTAAATTTCAACCACTTAAACAATAGACATCAACCGGCAAACAATCCGCTTAACTCCGTGCTTAGAGCTCTTGAGTAATTACAGCTTAAGAAGACGTTTCGAATCGTCGAGGTGGACTGGGAATTTCTCTTTTTCCAGGCTTGAGACGAAACAAAGAAAATTTTTCTTTTAAAAGAAAAGTCTTTTTTTAACGTTCTTCTTGCTCTTTTTAGTCGAAGTAACATGGAGACACCCTGGTTTTTCATTGCCACTTATCTGTTGCTACGAAATCCGGTAACTGGTGTCCAGGGCCTCGACAACTCTACCTTCCATTGCGATATCGACGCACGCTGTGACTGTTCACCAAAAGGATTATGGGATACTAGATGTCAGCTGAATGGTTCTACAGGGTCACCAAAGCCTATGGTGCTCTTCGAATCCTTGTAAGTTACACGGCCTTGTGTGAACTGTTACTCTTAAGAACATTGATAGTAAAAAATAAAAAAACTTGATGCAATTACCTGAATTACTGTATGAGCCAGAGAGTGGAAGAGGTTTACACCTGCAGAATTTCCTTTTTTTTCTTCAAACCTAATTCTTGATGGTGCAAAGTATATGCAACACGCTAGGAGGTGCTCGTCGAGAGAACATTCTTCTCCCTGAAAAATTTCTCAGTCAGAGCAAATCTTAGTTGTCATCGATCGTATGTATCATATTTGTCACGGAGGTTCTACTTAAGAGCACATTCACGAGCCAAATGTTTACAATAAAAATCGTTAAGAATTTTTATAAAAACAGTTAGTGTATTTGCGTGGTTGGGAATCCCTTTGCGATAGAGGGCCAGACTGCACTGCTTTGATCTTGAATTTGCAGACGGAACTTTAAATGTGCTTAAAATTCTATAAGATGATATGATGCATGTCTCGGCTGAGGCGAAACGATGCTTCATATCGCCCGCGCTGTTTATCCAAAATTTACTTTTTAAACTACACCTTAACCACCCCAAACCTTACATTATCTCTTAGGGATTTGTCGAGGAACGACCTACAGGACATACCCACAGACTTTCTGGTGAATCAAACTCATTTAGTGAACCTGTAAGTACTTGACGAAAGAAAACGAAAAGAAAAAAAAAGCAGAAAAAGAGCAATTTTCAGAAGAGTGTGGGGGAAGTATAGGTTTACATTTGTTCCTTCAACTGCACCCTATGTTTTTTTTTCTAGAAAACTTGTTGCACCCTCGCAATCAAGATTCTTTTCTTGGTTACACGTGTTTTACCGCACTTAAGGTCGTTATCACATGACTTAAAGTCTCTTTGGCTTCCTATAATTTTTATTTTTGTCCTTTACTTTTGCTTTGGTTCTACGACACTCATCTAAGAGCGCTGTAGCCGTATTCCGTTTCTCTCGAACGCGTCCACAGTTGATAAGAGTTGTGCATCTCAGTCCTCATTTCTTTACCTGAAGGATAAGGAAAAACGCTCATGTCTTTTTTAATTTGAACTATGAGTGTCTCGCCCAAAAAAATAGTAATGGCGAATAATGATAGTGATGATAATGATAACAATATTATTTGTTTTGGTTTTAGGTCGTTAGCTTACAATCAGATATCCGTTATCAAAGATGGTGCTTTTGGAAGGTTATTCAATGTAACTTTTCTGTGAGTATATATATTGTCTCAATTTCAGGGCTTTTTTAATATGCTAATTGTAAATGATTGGATACCAATGTTTTTTCTTAAAATGAGATATAACAGAAAAGGCAATTGCTTGAATAAACTTGAAATATGAAAGGCAGAAAATTAAGCTTTTAAATTTTCCATTGTTCAATGCCATATTGGAAAAATGTATTTCTTTTCACTGAACTTACCTTCGTGCAGTCACCACAACTTCGTGTTAGAGACGAGGTTGATTAATTTTAAATCTATGTAACCTCTTTCAGAGTCTGTCACGTTCCTGCTGCCAAATCTACTACACAAATATAAATGCTGTTATTGGTCAACGAGGGCTTTTCAATTCCCACGGCTTTCATTTTCAACTATTGATGTTGAAAACTGGTGCACTTGTATTGTTAAAAAGCGAACATGTTTCGAACAAAAGCTAGTGTAAGCTTTGAATATAAGTATATTTGCACTGAAACGTAACCTATTTTATATTAAAAATTTGGACTTCTGGCCGGGGGGAAGCAGAAGGAAAGGGTGTGGAGGGGGGGTGCTCACCAGAGAACGGAACTTATGCGAAACTTGAAACTCTAGAAGGGCCCATGTAAGTGTATTTACAATAGTTTGGTTTGTCAAAGTACTTAGCATGGCACATGTAAATGTAGATTCTACGTTTTTTTTTATTTATGACAATTCCTTTGACATTTCAGAGATTTAAGCTTTAACCCACTTCACAAATGGGAAGGTAACGTCATCAGCCAGCTTCCAAACCTTAAGACCTTAGTCGTGACCGGGAGTGTCTGGACACCAGATAGTAACATCTTGAAAATTCCATCTCTCGTAACTGTTTTGGGTGTAACCTGGAGCGACAAATGCGCGAATTGTACATTGTTCAAGGCAGAGGTACCTTTTTCATTAGCACCAAACGTGGATCACAATGATGAAAGACCAACAAAGAAATTTTTCGAGCATGGATATTTGATATTTTGTCTACATAAGAGCTGTTCTGCTTTGGCGATCAAACACCCCAAGCACGACGAAAACATTAAGACTATCGACGTTCCGAAGAAACTATTCTACAGTTCGTATGTGATGGGAGCAGTTGCCATACTACTCAACTTGATAGTCCTAATTACTATCATTCTTGCGAGATCTCTTCGCAAAACAACATCCATGTTGTTGATTTTCAACATGGCGCTATGTGACTTGTTAATTGGGATTTACTCCATAATCATTGGCAATTTGAACATTTTCAGTTTTCTCTCCAGTGTTCAGCTTGAGAAGAAAGTCGAGAAGCTTGTTTTTGGGGATGGAATTCTCTGTCCGCTTGCTACCGCCATATTTACCTCAGCCGAATGTGTTGCAGCAGTTACTTCTCTTTTATTAACTGTGGAAAAGTATTGTTCAATAGTACACTGCATGAATCCCGACAGACGTTTGGGAAAAAAGGTGGCTACGATGTGTTTGGTGTTTTGCTGGGTTCTATCGCTCGCATACGCCATTTCTCCTGAGTTTCACTTTCTCAATCTCTCTTATAGCGCAACAATGATGTGCAGCTTCCCAGTGGCGGGACGAGACACATTTCTTATCTGCTTGTGCGTTCTCGTGGCATTTTACATCGCTAATATCCCGCTATACGTGCGGATATTTCTATTTGTTCGCCACTCAGGTTCTCAATTGGGGGTGAAAAGGGAAGCCACCATCCTCAAGAAAATTGCCCTTGTTGTTGGAAGCAATTTTATCTTACTTTTAACACCAATGATTTTGATCCTTACCTTTGTACCCGTTGAAGATATCCATGATAAGATTAAACTGAGGAGTGACCGCCATAATCAGATTCTGTTTGTGTTCGGATTTTGGTTTCCCATTGCTTGTCTTGGCCTAAACTCCTGCATAAATCCAATTCTGGGTGCTTTTAGGCAAGGAGTGTTCTTGAAACAGATCAAAAATGTCTTCAAATGGCTCAGAATTCCTCCGTCCTTTGGTGCCCTCCGAAGACAAGGAACTAACAGATCGCAGTCACAATTGAGCACTGCTTCATCTCAGATAGTTCTTTACAAAGTTACTCAGCTCAGCAGTGTGTGATGTGATTTCTTATCTGCTTGTGCGTTCTCGTGGCATTTTACATCGCTAATATCTCGCTATACGTGCGGATATTTCTATTTGTTCGCCACTCAGGTTCTCAATTGGGGGTGAAAAGGGAAGCCACCATCCTCAAGAAAATTGCCCTTGTTGTTGGAAGCAATTTTATCTTACTTTTAACACCAATGATTTTGATCCTTACCTTTGTACCCGTTGAAGATATCCATGATAAGATTAAACTGAGGAGTGACCGCCATAATCAGATTCTGTTTGTGTTCGGATTTTGGTTTCCTATTGCTTGTCTTGGCCTAAACTCCTGCATAAATCCAATTCTGGGTGCTTTTAGGCAAGGAGTGTTCTTGAAACAGATCAAAAATGTCTTCAAATGGCTCAGAATTCCTCCGTCCTTTGGTGCCCTCCGAAGACAAGGAACTAACAGATCGCAGTCACAATTGAGCACTGCTTCATCTCAGATAGTTCTTTACAAAGTTACTCAGCTCAGCAGTGTGTGATGTGGAATAATGTGTTATGCACAATTCTAAAGTCAGACTGTGTTGTTATGGAAACTGAAATAGACAGACTGTAAAAGCCAGTTATATGCTAATGGCATAATACTTGAATTCAATATTTGTTCCTGGTAATCAAATTAAGTTCCTTCAAACCTAATTATATGTTTTCACACCTCTCGGATTCTCTTGCATCGTATTAAAATGTTTGTTTCTCGCGCGCTATCGGGTTTCTCTTTCATTGGATTGTTACCTTTATTTATCGTATTAACTACGGTGTTATACAAGGATTTCCAGCCCCGAGAAAAGCCGTAACGTGAAAAGATACGATATTTTTTTCACGTGTATTTGATATCGCCAATCAGCTGCTTATACGTCACTCGCGCCACGCGGTCAGGTTGATGGATGAACGGCAAAGCCTTCGCCACTTTCAATACATGGTCGTTTGTCGGAATTTTCTCGGATTATATGTGGCGGCTTAAAACGCTGAAAAATCCGTATCACTTACAGAAAGTGAAGTTCAAACTTTCCAAGAAGCGAAAGAAAACCAGTATACGAAAAGAAAAACCGAGAGTTACGTATTCAGTGGCTTTGGTTAAGGCATTTCTCGCGGCTGAGAACGAAAATCGACAATTGGAAGATTTGCCACAAGCCGATTTGGCCGTTTACCTGAAAGATTTCCTCTGTCGGTAAGGACAAAGTCAATAAATGAGAATTTTGTGAGTTGAAAATTACGCCCATTGCTGTTTTTGTAATCATGATTCAACGTATTTTTCCATCTTTTTTCCTATGCGATTTTTATTCGGGAATTGTCATTTCCTTATTTTTATTCTTTAATAAAGTCGGCTTTTATTGTCAGTAAAGGGCTATTGTGTTTACAGTCAAAAAAATAATATATGGTTGTTTGTAGATATGAAATTTCTGTTCTTGTGTTAAAGTCGACATCTCACTCGCTCGCTGCGCTCGCTCCCGAGCTATCGAGTCAAACACTCGAAGAGAAATTCCATATCTACGCGCACCCATGTATGATTCTCTGTTTCTTGCGCACTTTGAGGATTCTCTTTTATTCGCTTGTTTCGTAAATATCTCGCACGCTACTTTAACGTAACAATTGAAAGCGGAAACAATCGATTGTAACGTGAGTCATGATCTCGCGCATTTTAAGGATTCTTTTTCATACTGGCTATTGTAACGTAACAACTCGCACACTTTAAGGCTTTTCTTTCCCCATTGTTACGTTAGTATCTCATGCACCTTTAAGATTCTTTTTCATTCGCGGATCGATTGTCGCGGTAGTATCTCGCGCGCCCTTAAGATTCGATTCTAGTGCATTCGATTATAACGTTATTCCTTCGCTCAATTTTAGGATTCTCTTTCATTGGATTGTAGCGTTAGTATCTCGAGCACATTTACGTTTCTCTTTCATAGGATTATTAAGATAATGTCTCGCGCACCTTAATGAGTTTCTTCCATTCGGTTGTTACGTTTGCCTTTCGCACAATTTTAAAATTTTTTTCTGGTTGTATTGTTTCATTAGAATCTCGTGCACCTTAATGAGTTTCCTCCATTCAGTTGTGATGTTTGCCTTTCGCACAATTTTAAATGTTTTTTCTCGTTGTATTTTTTCGTTAGAATCTCGTGCACTTTTAGGATTCCCTTCGTTCGATTGTTACTTCAGTATATCGCCCACTTTTATGATTCTATTTCATAACGTGACTTACCTATGTCAGGTGTTGGTAAGCACAAACAGAGGAAGATTGTGAAGGATTTACACGGGACATGGATGATGAAGGGGAACCTCTCGGCTTTTCCAGCTCAGTCTCCTCAGTCAGTTTTCACCCACCCATTCGCTTCATAAGATGGTGTGTAGTGTCTCCTTTCAGTTAAAAAAAAATCCCTCCTCTGAGATGGGCTATTGTTTCTGAAAAATTATTAGTACAATTTTGTGTAGAGTGCATTTGCAATAAAAAAAGACACTGTACATATGAAGTTAAACAAGTCACGTAACTTGCTAAATTTGCTTATAGTCTAGGTCTTGCCGCATATTAAGATTTTAAGAATAAAAATTGAGGCGGTGCAGCGTGTTCAGGACAATAGAGAATCTTATTAACACGGTGACACAGCTTAGTTACTCGGGAAGCAGTGCTTTTTCGAGAGAGAATGATTATTCACTCATCCACGAACCTCTTTGGATCGTATCCAACCTTCATTTCCGAGAATGATTAGACGACCTTCGACTTGCCTGTCATCAACTGAGTTGATAACGTGAATTGGCCACCATAAAGAGTTTAAGGCTGACGTTTCGAGCGTTGGCCCTTCGTCTTTCGTTCTGACGAATACTAAATTACCCTGTTATACTCTCCTACCGACGCATCACCACAATTTCTACAGAAACTTACCCCCTTTATTCATTTAATTTTACTAATAGCTCAAAACTGACCCCCACATTTGACGAACGTGTCATAAATATCATGGAAAATCTGACCGAAGTTTTGAAAACAGGGCTTGTTTCATTCTTTTCAAAGACAACTACTCGTTGAGTCCACTGTCATAGACAGAGTGGAAGTGGTTTTTGGCTTTGCTTTTACCGCATGATTACTATGTTCTGCTTCAGCTGAAAATCAGTCGGAGTTGGATCCTAGTATATTTAATGAAATTCTCGTGATCATTACATGATCGCTCTCGAAAAAACGGGAAACGTACCATGTTTTTCAATCAAACAAATATCAAGTTTACAGGGCAAGGCCTCAAGTAAACATCGGAAAGTTTTTATACCGTATGGTTATGAAGTCACGCGAAAATTTTCCTTAGCTCTCGGGCAGCCATGCTGTTTTTCTGCTGCTTTCGCTAGAACTCAACTCATATGACTTTGTCACTCACAGTTAGTAATTTTCTTATTTTTTGAGGGATCTATAACTTGTTTTTCTGTGGTTACTCTTATCACGCAGTGCAGGAATCATTAGGGCAAGTTACTGCACATCCTGGGTTCGAGAAGCAATGAGCGATGTTTCCTTGGCCAGCGGTAATTTCTGGATTACCAAAATGGCGGCATTATCTGAATATGAAAACGCTATGTTCCTTGAGCTTATGGATGATGACGGGCTGTTTGTCACAGCCAAGTAAGTACACCAGCGAGAAGAGCTTCAATTATTTTACTCTATCGCACCTCATTATTGCTTATTTGTGGCTTGTAGGGGTTTGAGTTTTGAGCGAGTTATCGCGAGTTTTCTGAAGATTCATTGTGTTACGAGCGATCCTTCCTCAATATCTTTAGTCCTTGTGATCAACACGACAGATCAGGAAGAGGTAGGTCCTATTCCTTTTTCTTGAGTCTAGGTGGGAATAAATTGAATGAAACTGACTAAAATCTCCACATCAATCATTACGATGCGTAAAGAAAAGCCCCGTCCAATCGTGCAATGTTGTCAGCTGGGTCGAAATTTTCCTATGTGGCTGCAATTTATCCGAACAAAATAAGACAACATTTTTGATCGTTAACTCCCCTCCTCCCCTCCAATGGATGACACCCTTTTGTGCAGGGCTGGAAAGAATTTTATTTTTAGAGAAGCCGATGAAACTAGTAAAAAATATATAAATAAACAAACAAACAATAACAACAACAAAAAGAAAACAACAACAACAGGTTAAAAAAATAAAGAGAGATCTTTTCCTTTAACTTAGCAGTGGTCAATAGTGCTGCTTGTAAAAACTGCAAATACCTTGCTTTTGTAAACAAGTTTAGATTTTCCTAGGCAAATACATGTACAAAACTTAAAGAAAATGAAGACTAAATCAGAACTGGTGTCAAGCTGATGTGGAGTTAAACTTAAGAGGAATACAAAGAAATCACAAGATGGTCAATGGCTTCTCAAGCAACCCCAAAATAGGGGCAGCAAGTGGTACAGGTGCCTTGAAAATTGGAAGCCTCGCACAATTTTTGTCCAATCTTGTCAAATTTGCTATGAGTTTTGAAATGATTATTTTTATACTGCATGTAGTGCCTTTCATTGTTGTTCTCAAATTCAGTATTTGCATTCATAGCTGAGGTTTATGGATGAAAGGCACAGTGATAGCTGAAGTAAGTTACAAATAGCATGTGCAACAACAGATGGCCAAGACTAATTGAAAAAAAATTACTAATTACTAATAATTTGCAGCAGCAGATATTGGGTTATCATGTCAAGTTCAATGTCTGCCTAGTTTCCAAGCCCCTCATCCATGTAGTGCTATCAAACTTTTGTAAACTCAGAGAGAAGCATCTTCTTTTGCAGATTATTTAAAAGAAATCTAAAATTCGGTATTTACATAATGTGAATTATCAAACCTTGTGTCACTGTTGTCTGCCTCAGTGTTCAGCTTTGGCTAGTAATTTAGACCTTGGCATTGATAATTAGTGATATCATGCTCAACCTCATCCAATAATTGCTTATTGTTTGCAGGACTATATTCTTGATGAACTTAAGTCTTCAGATGTTCCACTGCCAAAAGTTATCACCACTGAATTCACCTCTTCAGAGAGGTATGTTTTATATCATGAAATGACCCCTTGTTGCTTTTTGAATAATATCTGCTTTTATGATGATATTGATATCAAACTGAAAACATACATTTTGTTAGGAGGGTACTGCTAAGGTTAAATTAAGGTTCTAATTAAAGTGGTTAACCCTTTAAGTGATTAACATGTAATTTCTCCCAGGTAATAAGAATATGGAAACTTATCTGGTAGAGGTTATCTTGATCTAACATCAAATTCTGAACACTAATTTGAAAGGAATAATTGCATAGCAGTTAGACAGGAGAATTAACAGTCTGATCGTGAGAGTGAATGATTAAGAGACTGAGTACTTGCTGTCAATATATTAAGTAACATGACTCAATTTTTTATCTTAAAAACTTTGCAAGTTAAGAGCTTTTAGCCTACTACTGAGGCAATTGTCATTATTATATCAACTCCTTAGAGAGGAGAGAGGTTACTTCTAATTTGTTATTTGAAGACTAAGTTTAAGCCAACAGGGAGACCTGTAATTAAAATGTGAAGATATATCTGTACTTAAAAAATGGTAACTTGTCAAAAATCCACTCAACTTTTGAGCACCTGCATGAAATAGGCAAAAAACCCTGTAACCTCTGCAAGTAATTGGCCTCTATTTCTTATTGTTGTATTTCCCTTGACTCAAAGTAACATTCATGAGAGTACCAGAAATAATTACCAATATAAGAAGCTCTTGATTGTCAAACAATTTGTACTTGTCATTACCCAAGGAAATGTTTAGAAAATAGTGTAAAAAATATTTAATACATGTTATGATGTAAACAATTAAACTGTCATTTTAGTCATTCAAAAGAGCCTTTCAATGTCCAGTTGCTTGTTGTGTAAAAGTTAAATTTTTGTTTTTGTAGAGAGTCTGTGTATCTTTCTGGAGGTGTCCTTTTTGTCACTTCAAGAATCTTGGTTGTAGACATGTTGACAAAGAAGCTGCCCATTCATCTGGTGACAGGAATTGTTGTATTACGTGCTCACAAGTATGTAATAGTTTCAGTCTGCTACAGTTGACAGTTTGTTTGATAACACCTGGTAAAGTGTGCTCTTGAGCCATTAGTGGTACTATATAGTTCTGGAGCTTATCCTGCTTTTATTGCATAAAGCCACAGGTTAACATCAGGCTGCTTACTAGCATTTATTTTTGTCTGGCTTCCCTGGCAGTTCTCTGATACCCATTTGTACTCTTGTGTGGATACTAGGCACTGTTAGATTAAGCAAAAAGGGCAAAGTATGTACATGTTCTTGAGCCTAGTAGCCCATCTGGCTGCAGCTTATTCTGGTTTCATAGCATGAAGTGATCAGGAGTAATTTACTTCTCCTCCCTGGATAAAGTTCATTGCAAGGTCCCCCCCCCTCCTCCCCTCCAGTTGAGCTTTGCTGACAGTTAGCCACTACCCATTTATACTCCTGGATGGAGTGAGGCATTATGAGAGTAAAGTATTTTGCTTAATAAGAACACAACACATTGACCTAGCCAGTTCTTGTACCTGGACTTCTTGACCTGGAGTCCAGTACATTGAACATTAGTCCAGTGTCTCTGTGAGATTAAAGTGTACTTGAAATAAAACACCATGACTGACCTGGCTAGGTCTCAAAGACAGACTTCTCTACTCCAGTCACGTACACTAGCCCTTAGGCCACCAAATCTCCCAGCCTAGCACAGGAGACCTAATGAAAAAAGGGGGTAGGTTTCTAAATAAACTGTGGTGCTGCATCAGTAAGAGAGTAGAACAGAGTAATTAAATATCATCAACTGAGTTGATAACGTAAATTGGCTATTGTAAAGAGTTTCAAAATTTAAGTTAGCTCTTGAAACTCTTTACAGGGACTCAATGAAAACCCTGACTTGGACTGCAAACATGATAACATTAGGCAAAGCACTTGACAAAAAAATTGAAGATATTAGTGCTTAATTCAGTGTTGTTGTGAAGTCATTGCATGACATCCCAATTGTTTGATTTGCAGTTTGCACTTTAAATTTCAACTGAAATCAATCAAATATGTTTTTATTTGCTTAGAATAATAGAATCTTGTCAGGAGGCTTTCATTCTTCGATTATACAGAGAAAACAATAAGGTGAAGTACTGTTTATGTTCATTGATTTAATAAAGATACTGAATTTTATCACCTGAAGGTGTTAATAGTATTATCGAGTTTTTTAAAAAAAAGATAGTGTCCCTCTTGAATCTCATGATAATAATTGGTTCAACCAATTAGTAAATTGTGTTTTGATTATTGTTAATTATTACATACACAGCATCGGTACATGTATATACAGTATATATACCCTTTTTATTTCATAGAAGAAAAAATGTTGCTTTATGTATGAGGAATGGGGAATCTAGATCTATATCACACTCTTGTAGAGGGGTCTGATAATCTATGACTCATTATTGCCACAAAGAACAAAAAAAAAATGACAACATCTCTTAATGACCCACAAACACTCTGAGGCTCATTTGGTGTCACTGTCAAGCAACTATCAATTCCCCTTCTGGATGAGGAGTTGCCCCACTCCCATCTGATTGTCATTTTGAGATAACCAAATCAAATTTCTTATAACACTTCATGTAGGTACAACAATACTTCATGTTGGTACTACAGTACAATCATGTAATTGTACTTTATATAGCCACTACAACAGTTTATGTGGGTACTACTAACAGTTCTTCATTATTGTAGGTACTGCAACAAGAAAGGAAAGAGATGGGTTGTGAATTAGATGGTTTAATTGATGTAAAATGTACTTAGTGGGTTATTGATGTGTAATGTACAAGGACATGTGCATATACATGTACACCATATACAGATGAAGTTTGTTGTACACCTCATTCTACCCTTCTTAAGCCCTTTTTTTCTATTGATTGACTCTGTTGCTTGATTCTTTACAGACTGGTTTCATCAAAGCCTTATCAGACAATCCTCAGGCTTTTACTTCAGGTTTTTTTCAAGTGGAAAAAGTGATGAAGAATTTATTTGTAAGAAGACTATATCTTTGGCCTAGGTATGGGAAACAGAAATAAAATTGACTTGCATATTAAAGAAAATTTGTATTTGAATAAGAATTACATGCAGTCTGATATATGGAACCAGCACCTAAGGAAGAGTAGTTTGGTCCAAATTTGTGTGCAGTGTATAATTGTGAACTGATTTGTATTTCTTAATTAATTTTGGAAGATCAAAAATTAACAATTTCATGGCATCATAATTTGACATGTGTGAAATACAACAGAACTGCTGTTCTGTGTAGAATTAGGGATTAGGGATTAGGGATTCTTCTGGGATTATTTATTCAGAAACAATAATTATCAATAAAATTGAGCACTTAAGTCCTTATGATATTGATTGAGCATTAATCTAATCTTTCTTTTAATATATTTGTTCTTTTTAAATCTAGGTTTCATGCAACAGTTTCAGCATTTCTGGAAAAACACAAGGTATGTTTTGGAGTTTTGGCAGCCAATCTGCTTGAATCTTTTAAGCTTAAAAATGTCTCCCTGAAAACCAACTATCAGTGACTGGACATATATAAATGCTTAGTCTTAGTACTGGGACTTTAAATAAGTGAAGGTGAGGATACGATGTTAAATCCAAAAATATATCACCAAATGTAGTTTGGTCCACCTCTAATTTGGCACATTTTAGACTTTAATCATGAAGGATTCCATCAGAGGTGGCTTTTGGAATTGCTATGGTCCAAGCTTTAACAAGTTTAACACATTTGATTATGGGTTTGCAAGATTTAAGTCTTTGTTTTAGTGTGGACCCTGGTCAATTTGTTGTGTCCTTGGGCACTACTTTTCTGAAAGAATGTGGGAAGTTGGTGGTTTGGGAAAGTTGATGAAATATATGGAGTAACCTACAGTAGGATAGACTTGCATCCCTTATTATTTATTAACAAGCCATCGTGGTTTGTCTCTACACTGACAATTACACACTGTCAAAGAATCAAATAATGCTCATTGTGTTTCATTCTGTTAGTGATGATTTGTGCAAATTTTTGCTTTTAAGCCAGAGGTTATTGAGCTTCATCTCCATCTAACACCTTCCATGCTGGCAATTCAAACAGCAGCTCTTGATCTGATCAATACATGCCTTAAGGAGCTGAAGAGAGCAAATCCAACAGTGAGTCTCCTGTTGCATCAATGAAAATTTTGTCTTTTTGACAAAGAAAGAGATTGTCTACATCATTTACAATCTAACATTTAGTCAAGAGATTGTTGATGATGTCTTGAATTTTTCGGATGTGGATATAATTGAAGGGTGAAGTTAATGTAGATTGTATTTATTAGATGCCTCCCTCCTGTTAATAACTATGAATTAATTACAATTTCAATACCATTTCATTTTGTCATGCTAGAAAGGTTTAGGTTGGTTTAGAACTTCGTCATGACATTGGAAGCCTTTTTGCACCAAATAAAATTGTGTTAAGAATGAAGGAAACTGGGAAAAATTGTTTGCTAGGATTTTAGACAAGCTTCAAAGTAGTTGGAAGAATTTAAAAATTGTAGAGAAGATATTAAGTGAATAGATTTTAAGTTTCTAGGTAAAAGTTTTGAAAATGGACCAGTTGTGGAGAAACTTCATGATAATGCTTTTTATGAGTAATACCATGATTTTCTCTCTTAATCATGTAGCTTGATGCAGATGATCTGACTGTAGAGAACAGTATCAGCAAATCCTTTGACAAAATCCTGAGATTTCAACTTAATCCTGTTTGGCATCAACTGGTGAGACTCTATGTTAAGATTTCCTTTACTCAGTCAGTTTCAATTGTTCAGTTTTAGGGGGAAAAAAAGAGCAAAAAAAAGAAAATAATGACTGATTTACTCAATGTAAGTTGCTAAAATGCAAAGACCTTAGGTTATTAGGAAAGAATTAGTAACTAACTGGCATTTATGGGGCTTGTGGTTCTTTTTTTTTGTGAAATTGCTTTCTATTTCCTTATCAGTGATAATTTTATGCATTTGTATGTTGTAGGGAAACAAGACAAGACAGTTGGTTGCTGATCTTAAAGTTCTCCGGCTTATCCTACTGTAATTGCATACATATTCAAGTACTTAAGACAGTTAAACTGTTGATTTAAATAGTGATAGCCAGGCTTACTGATTTCTAAGTATGGGCCACTTCTCTCTGAAAGTTACTGGAAATTTGCATTTGGGATGGCTTTATTTTTAACCAATGCATCCAGAAAATAATAATTTGAAATAATTCAGTCTAACTTTAATCTTTATGATGATCATAATTATTTCTCTCATCACAGCTATCTTACACAATATGACTGTGTGACATTTTACAACTTTCTGGAATCACTCAGGTATACTTAAAATGTACTTATAATTATTCCAGCATTCACATTTTCCTTCATTTATGTATAAAATGTGTTAAGTAAACATATTTTGGATGTACTGTAAAAGTTATATAGCATGGTGGATAGGCCAGCATACATGTTCATGTATTGCACTCACAGCCCACAGGGTGACATTGGATGTGTCTGTTCAGTATCACAGATGATGTGAAAATGTGACAGGAAGAAAAAAGTGGTTCAGCCAAGTGTGTCACTTACGTCCTTTTTACATTTTGATGTTTTACTGTACAAAACCTATGACAAAAAAGAATCTATTTTTTATGTGATAAAAAGGCAGAATGTTGTTATAATGGTAACATTATCAATGTGTCTGCCCTCCAATCAATCATAAGTAAGAATAAATTTAAATCTACCCGTAGATGAGTGTAAAATTCAACTTGCCATATAATATTACATGTAGTTTGTCCAGTGCTTGGTTTTAACTCATATACCATACTCACAAAATACCCCACTAGTTTGCCTCCTTGCCTGTGTGGTTTAAATCGTTCCCATGATATGACAAACCATCTGTTAGGAAAAGATACATTTTGACTGAGTTGTTTTTGTAATGTGTTAACATACAAAATGTACAATGCACCATCAGGGCTAGTCAACGTGATGTCAAGAATCATTCACTTTGGATGTTCATGGATGCTGCAGATTCCTTGTTTGTGGTAAGCTGTTTTTCTGTCAGGTTATATTTAGTCGTAGTTTTGTATTAGAATCAATGTAGAAGCGATCCTCGCAGTTATGAACACAACTGAACTAGTAGTTGAAATAAGGCTTGAAAAAAATTCAGGCCCGTACGGGGTTTGAACCCATAACCTCTGCAATACAGGTCGCCTTATTTCAAGTACTGGTTCAGTAGTGTTCATAACTGCGAGGATCACTCCTATATTCATTTCTTCCACTGCAGGATGATTTTCCTTGATGCGATACAGGTCGCCTTATTTCAAGTACTGTTTCAGTAGTGTTCGTAACTGCGAGGATCGCTTCAATCTATATTCATTTCTTCAACTGCAGTGCACATATATGATTTTCATATATTTACAGTCATTATTCACCACTTGGAAGGTTTATTTGGATCCAGCATAATGACCAGCTCCCAGTTGGCTTGTTAGCTCAGTTGGTAGAGCGCTGCACTGGTATTGCAGAGGTTATGGATTCAAATCCCGTACGGGCCTGAATCTTTTTCAGGCCTTATTTCAACTACTATTTCAGTAGTGTTCATAACTGCGACGATCAATTCTATATTCATTTCTTCAACTGCAGTGCACTTATTATGATTTTCATATATTTATAATCAATACTTTAATTTAAATTCTTTTTCAAAGCATGCAAAGGCAAGGGTTATTGAATTTACTGAAAGTAAAAACAAGAAAATGAAAGGAGAAACATCACAACAGAAGGAAGAGAATTCTAAGTAAGTGAATATTCTCCTAAGTATTCCCATTCTGTTGCCAATACTGCCCTTTGCACAATGTAGGCTTCTAATGTGAATACAGTTGACGTGGAATTAAGGAAGAAGATAGTCTTTTGGGGGCTTAAACCTTCTTGTTGGTGACAAGTGTATATCTTCTGATCTGATTTCTTTCTCCCCCTCCCTCCTTTCCCCCATCAAGCTGAGGGGCTGGGTCTCCAAAGCACTCGTCTTACTCAAAAGGTTATACAGTGTATTTTCTCGACTTGCTGGATGTAGTATCTTATCTTGAGCAGGACTCCTTCATGGGAATTGATCACCGTGATATGCATGAATGTATGCTGACTATGATTATCTGTGTTGCGAAACGTATTTAAGTGATGTGAATACTGATTATGAGTTGTGATCTTATGAACAATGTGTTAACCCTTTAATTCCTAACATCAGCATGCATATTCTCAATTCTACTCCCTTGACATTTCCTCGGGTTCTGACATGGAGAATTTTTTCAACAATCAAGAGTTTCTTTTGTTGGTGATCATCTCCCTTATTCTCATGACCTTAATGTTTAATTCAGGGGGGATATTGTAAGGAGAAATTAGATGTTAGTCACTCTTAGGGGTTAAAGGGTTAAGAGACTTCACACTGGATGCACCCAAAGTTTCTCTCTTTTTCCCTTTTCTTCCAACTGTGCTTAGTTCACTATCTCTCTCTTCTATAGAGGCTACAGCAGTGACAAGGATCAGAAAGGTTTGTAGTAGATAAATTTTGTTATTTTTGCAACTTTTCTCAGCCGAAAAAAAGACAAATTATGTATAGAAAGTATTGTGACAGAAGACTCTAAGCGGCTGTATTCTTAGCAGGCTGTTAACTTTTACAGTAGACAAAGCAAAACAGGACTAATCAAACAAAGACAAAACAAAGGAGGAAATTGAAGGGGTTAGCAACAGTGAAAGTGCGGCCTTCTGTCTTCTTGTCCAACGCAGTTTTATTCGCCCTTCTGTTGCTGTAAATATCCTTGAATACCCTTTTTTTTAAGAAGATTTTTCCAGAATCTAAGAACGCGTTGAGCCGGTAAGGTGCGCAATCTTGAGTGGAGGAGGTCATCTAGCTGGTGCATGTGTAACCAGTCAGATCACAGAATTAGCAGAATTAGCCGGTAAGGTGCTTGCTGACTGAGTACCTTGTGATAAGATTTAGCAGTTGATGTTATGTAGAAGAACAACTTGTGACATTTTTTCTTTCTTCTCTTTTCTTTCTTTGGTTTGCTTTCCATTAACAGAGGAATTAGTTCTGGAGGAGAGTCCGAAGTGGAGGCTTGTGTCAGAAGTGTTAGCAGAGATTGAGCGGGATGATGCTGATAATGACAAATGTACCTGTTACACTTACTGTCTGTATTTCGTTTGATTGTCTGTGATTTTTACGTCAATCAATGATTTTAAATTGCTTTTACGACTGAAAAGATCTTATCGTCGTTCGCTTTCTATTCCAATTTTTTTTTGGGCAAAGAGTGCCGTGCAAAATACTTTCTCCCAATGTTTAAAACTGGTCAGTGTTTTAAACTTTGAAAAGACGAAGAAAAGATTCTTTTTCGTCGTAGCTTGTCAAATGCTCTGAGAATTACTTATATCTTCAATTGCCTTTGGAAGAAGTATTTAATTAGCGAAGCACTGCAATTTGATATTTCCGTAAATATTTTTTCGTTTTTGAACCGTAAAGCTGCCAAGATTAACCTGAAGTTGATTTTCCACGCTCGAGATCTATGTTTGATATCTCTCTGCACCCTTCAAATTTGATGTTGGGAAAAAACGAGAGGAATCTTTGAGAACCAAGAAACTTTGTGTAGAATTGTCATTGATAGTCTTTACAGAAGATTAGTCCTTGATTCTGGTGTCATTTCAAAGCTTCTGTTCTGTTGCTTGTCTTTGCCAGAAATTCGTGGTTCTGTGAATTTCTTGAGTGTCACTAGTGCATAATCGTGTCTAGAAGTACAATAAGTGAGACCAGACGCACATCAAGATGCTGAAAGATTATACGATATACGGATTTTCCTGCGGTTTCTTTTGTGAGTTTTTGCGTGATTAGTTTTGTTTTGCCTTATTTTACAGTTGGACCTGGTCATGTTCTGATTGCTGCTTATGACGAAAGGACGTGCTCACAGCTCAGAGATGTAAGTGCTTATTCAGCGACTTTTTTCTCTCGGCTAACAGCTTACAACGTATGATATGCACCAACTTTTTAATGAAGTAAACTGATTATTTCATTGATTATTGGTATGGGCTAGGACGACTTTTGGTACTTACCGGTTATTTTCAAGAGTTGAAATGCAAAACCCCTCGAATGATGTCGCTTTTATGTTCCACCTCACTGACTGCTTAATGCGAAGTCTTTAATGGTGAACTAGGCGATTGGAATGTCATACATTTTTTCGCATGGATTTTCAATTGTATTTGATGAAGTTGTAATCTTAATCTAGCGAGGGAGAGGTGGTTGGGGGTGGGAGAGGGGGATGGTTGTTATAGTGCAGCCATGATTTCAGTTCAAATTTTGCGCCAAACAAAACAGCATCCCTCGCTATAATTATCCAGCTTTCGATGAAGTTTGAAATTGATTTCATTTGCATTTTACCATTCAGATTGAATCTTTCAGTAACCAGGTGATAGAAAAAGAGAGGGAAGATAGTTTTCCAAAAGTTAATGCACAGGATGCTTGATAAAGTTGTTGAATTGAAATATTTTTGCGGACATCTTATTGTTATGGTGTTCTCATCGTTTTGTAATTTAGTACCTCTGTGATGGAAGCGAAGCTGTTCTCACTCGCCTTTACAACAAGTTAATAAAACCTGCAGCAACAGTGGCTGAGACGTCAGAGACAGGTACATGTATGTTTTCACCTTCAAACCACTGCTTTGTATTCCACCTTAACTGTGTTTATTCAGTTTAATAAAACAGTCTTGGCCTTTTTCACGATATGATTTTTAGGGGTGTGGCAAGGAGGCCCAATAGGAGGTAGTAGATTGTCAAAATTAGGTTCCTCGGGTTTTTCGAGAGATGAGAAAAAGAAAATGCTATGTCAAAAGTCAAGCGAGTTTATTTCAGTGCTCTCACGATAAGATTTTCTTTCATTAATGTCTCAAAGCTAGAATAACTTGGTGTCAGGGTGAAAATATGAAGAAACGAGCTACGTCAAGGTTTGCATGTCTTGAAATAATTGGCCTCCTTATCAAACTTGGAATCGAGTTTATCTCCCCCCTATCTTCCCCCATATTGACTGCAGACTGATAACGTTGATATGGACCGCGAATGCTCGAAACTTAATATATTCCTAAGGGGTATTAAGTGATGTAATATTGTGAGTTTTTTTTTCGTTTTGTAGCTTCCGTAAGTGGAGATACTCTGCAAAGTGACGCTAGTGCAAACATTTCCAACAAAAAGGTAGGGGCGCCAATTGCAAAACAACCCCTACATACTTCTGGCTTGTTTGGCGAGAACAGATCTGTTGACCGGAGTGGTTGTGCAACCGATAGCAATCGTGGTAAAGCTGAAACGAATTCTCGGCGTTCCACCATTTGATGCCGTGTTCATTGTTTCTTTCTCTCTGATTTCCTATACCTCAATTACTCAAAAATGCGGCACCTGCTGGCGGTAATTTTTCTTGATGTGAAATAATTATGTTTAATTATAATAATGATCAAATGTTTGTTTGTTGCTGCTTCGTTTCGAATTCATTTCAAACGGAAAACAATTTATCAAATAGCAGTTTGAAAATTCTGGAGAGAAGCAAATTACATGGTGGCAAGAACTTTGAGCATTACCACGGAAACAATTGAGAATAACGAGGTTATTAAGAGGTGATATTAAGAAAAAAGATGCGCCGTCCAAAACAGATTCGCCTGCCTTCTCTACAGAGGTGTCGTAATCATGTCCCTCTGAGAGGCGCTATGCGCTAATGGCAAAAATTATTGTGTTTACCTCGGGGTATGCGGGATGATGGAAAGATCGGGACAGACGGGTTTTAATTGCACCTAGACACGGAAGTATGAGTTTTCAGGGCATCCGTGCCTCAAGATAACGACAATCCAGTGCCCTGATTATTTAATGATTGATGACTCACCATCAACAGCAATAACTGGTGAATGCGCGCGGCCCAGTTGTTCTAAGGCCGATTTCTGCTAACCCAGGGTTAAATGTTAATCCGGGTTTCTTTATTTCTCTATTCAATAGTTTTTTACTGATAATTTTCTCTATTCCTTTTAGAATATCAAATAATCAAATTGTAGACGAAAAGAATTAAACTGAATTTTCTCTTAAAGCTTTCAGATCTGAAATTAAATTTCACACCGTGGGTTTTCTTAACCCAGCTTTGGTTAATTCTTGGAGGCTAAGTTTTAAGAGTAATCATCAGAGTTTGATCCGGCTTTCCTTTAAAGGTCGATCAAATGTTACTCCCGGGTCAAACCATTACCTGAAGTAAATAAATAAGTTGAATGTCGGTAAGTTTTGATCAAAATAACGTCGTCGTCCAATTTTACAGGATTTACCGTCATCCCGTCAACGCCATGTTCAACCTGGAAAAAAAGGGAAATCAAAAAGGAAAGTGGCTGCCCCAAGGAAGAAAGCGCCTTTAGATCAGTCAGATGAAGGGTATGAAATTGCCTAGTATCTTAGTGAAAGTTTCTCTAAATTGCTCTTCCAGTGGCCGATTATACCCAACAAGTAATTTCTTAACGTCGTGGAGATTAGATGTCTCTGTTAAAGGATGCTACGTTACTCTGTCGGTTCTTTTGTTAGCATTTCTCTCTCTTGACGTGTCCGCTGAGTTTTTCCTCTTCAACTGTTTTGGTCGTTATTTGGTGTAGTTGTTTTCACGTTTGCCAGGTTATCGACTCGTTAGCAAGGTCAATTTGTTTGCTCGTTTTGTGGTGTGGAGTAGTTTTTTTATTCGTCTGCTTTCCCATCGGCTTCGTTAATCTAACTGAAGAAATGTTTTTCGGATCATTTCCTTATCAACTAATTTTTTATTTTTCCCATTTAGAAACAGTGCATCGAAGACCCAGTTATTCAAAGGTATCTTTAAATTTTTTATTTTTATTTAGTTTTTAGCAATATCGCCCTGAATCACACATTAAGGTCACGAGAATAAACGAAATGTTCAACGACTAACGAAGCTCTTGATTGTTAAACAAATTCTCCTTTTCAGCACCATAGGAAATGTAGAGAGAACAGTATGGAGAATATGCCCGCTGATGTTAGGGTGTAAACTAAAGGGTTAAACTGCTGATTCATAAACGTGTTACTATCTAGATATTCACTCTTATTATTTACATATTTGTACCCAAGTTATCGAAGATGTAAGAATTGTAATAAATACGATCTTGAAATTACTATCAAAACGCGGTGTAGTGAGAGGTAAAGGGAGCTTTAAATTATTATTTTTTTCTCTCCAAGGATCAAGATCAAATGTTCTTTTGAGGGTAAGTCATAGACTGTATCCACATCATGCATGTGATACATGGATATATTACTGAAAAATACAAACATACAATTATCGTTGACCTTAATAAGATATTAAAAATTGACGTCAATGGGGAAACATAATTTTATAAAAATAGATGTGAAACGTTTCTTACGAGGATGAATCAGATAGGCCTAAGTGCCGCTGGTTCATACAAACAACACACTAAGGGTAGGTTTCCTGAATCTGTCGTGACTCTTCACTGTCTGCTTGTGATGTTAGTTTCTGTTCCATAAGGCCATTATGATTACCTTTTTTGTTGGTTTGGTTTCGGGTTTTTTATTTTGTGTTTGTTTGTCTGTAGTTTTGTTTCATTTTTTGTTTATTTGTTGTTGTTGTTTTAATTTGTAGTTTTGTCTGACATTCAATCGAAAAGCATTCAGCTTAATAATTTTTATTTAATGTTGTGTCTGCGTTTGTCATTAAAGAAGTTAGTTTGCGTAACAGAGACCCTTCGGGTCATAAAACAGAGATTTGTAATGAGGTATTTATATCATTTTTACTTCAGCCAGGTGAAGTAAACAAAGCGGCAGAACAGGACTCCCCTCCAATAAAACTGCTGTCATCACGAATGACCATCATTCATCCTCTAACAGGTTGCAGGTAATAACTGTTATCACGCTTTGAATACCTGTATCTCCCTACAGCTGTGCAAACATTTCATCAGCAATACATGTAGTACGCTCATTAAAAAAAACCGCGGCGGCAATGGCTGACAAAAAAAACGTGCCTTATTTGCATACTTATAACATCTTACTGTAATTATCATAATGAGTGGTAGCCATACTCGTATGCGCAATAATGGACCGAATTAAAGCGATACAATGTAAATCTGTCGGTTTTACCGAATTGATAACCAACTCGGGTTGTCGAGAGAACGTAAGAAAAAGGGCAACTGGCGAATGATTTACAGGCATTCCTAAGAGGATTATTATGCCAGTAACACGACTGAAAGGGTCGTATATTGCTTTTACTAAATAGCTTTGGTTATATCGATGTAGTGATAAATAGGTTCTTGACCTTTTTATAACATAACTTAGACACAACGCGCGCTCTGATTGGTCAAAAATCTTTTGTATAATTGCCCGTAAACCCATAGAAAACTGAAGCATCTTCCCGTTATGTCAAATGGCGCCACACGGGGCCAATTCCCAGATTTTAATTTGTTAAAGGCCTTTGGTTTGGAGGAATTGAAGAGGAAACTTTGAACGTTAAAAACAAGGACAAAGATTTTATTTTTCTAACATTATCAAATTTTTTACTTGAAATGAAGTTTAACCAGCTGCGCTGTTAATGTGGAAGAACTTCAGAAGTTCTCGACTAGAATTCCCCAAAGTGCTCGCCTAGAAGGGAAAGTTGGCATGTTTTTGCTTCAAGAAGAATGTAGCGATAAACTAACTGTATTCTCATTTGGATATTTACTGGAAATGCTATTTGCATGAAGTCAAAACCACTTGGAAAGTGAATGTGTACTCAAGATTTTATGGCAATTCCATATGCCTTCCAGTTCATTCAGTTTCCGGTGCTTTAATTGGTTTCTCGCACCTTGATGTGTTTCATGAGAATCAGCGACTTATCATTCTCTCTAACAAACTTCACTCATTTATGTCATAAAAGCAATATACCACACTTGCTACTGGTTTAACGGCTAATAAACCGCTTGGGATGTTGAGAGAACACTCGAAAATTTGGCAAACTTTTATCGTGTTCTCTCAAATAATAGATACACAGATAAACGAGTCAACAGAAAAACAAAACTAGATGAACTGATTAGAATTAATTACTTAATTAAGTAAGAATTAGATAAATGAATAAACAAATTAGTAGATGAATAAATCATGATCAGTCTTCGGTGTCTTGTATTAATAAACGAAACTAATATGAGACTTGATCTGAAGGATGGAGAACTGTTTTTTTTAGTGATCGTTACAGTTTGCTGAGGACTCTTTGGGAAGTAGAGCCTCGATATGTTGTGCTTTATGATGCGCAAATGCAGTTTATACGCCAACTTGAGGTATTTTTACCTTTTTTCTCGTTTTCAGTTGCCTATTTTTCTTTTACAATGTACTATCAGTATGTTGTCTTGGCCGATCATTTCCTTTGCTCTTTGTTTTTGTTTTATTTCCAAAAAAACTTCTCGTTGCATCTACGAAATTAGACGTGTGTTTGTTTGGTTTGCTTGTTCTTTTCTTTTTTGCCTTCATTTCTGGACCGTTTAAAGACGTGTTTGTGACTGCACGTATTTTGATTCAATTTTTGGGGATTCGTACGTTCATTCGTACGTTTATTCGTACGTTCATTCGTACGTTCATTCGTACGTTCATTCGTACGTTCATTCGTACGTTCATTCGTACGTTCATTCGTACGTTCATTCGTACGTTCATTCGTACGTTCATTCGTACGTTCATTCGTACGTTCATTCGTACGTTCATTCGTACGTTCATTCGTACGTTCATTCGTGTATTCGTGAGCCTTTCAGTTTTGTGGATTCGTGATTTCTTTCGTCCATTGGTAAGATTGTTCTTTGATTCGTTATCTTGTTCTTAGATTCTTTATCTCGCCTCACTTCGTTTGTTGGTATGATGCTTCATCCGTTCGATGATCTTTTATTCCGCGAGAATTTGCTGGTTCTTTCGTTAACATGTTATCTATTTTATTTAAGTTAATTCTTAGATTTTCCTTCGAGTATTTTTAAGCTTGTTGGTTGATTCCTTCGTTCGTTTATCAGTTGGTTGATGTAGTACTACGTTTGTTTTTGTACAAGTCAATAATTCCAGATCGTTATGAGAAATTCATCAGTATCTCTTCCACAGGTTTATAAGGCATCCAGACCTGGAATTCCTCTTCGTGTTTATTTCTTAATCTACGCTGGTTCAGTCGAGGAACAGGTAGTGATTCAAAAGCTTTTTTTTTCAGTTTTCGTTAAATTAACTTTGCAGGTGAGACATGTTTTTTAAACCATTATTTTAGAAATACTTGACAACTCTTCGGAAAGAAAAAGAAGCGTTTGAAGTGCTGATAAAAAATAAAGGGGTAGGTTCATTTCTCTGTTATTTCTTATACATGAATTACATTGATTTATTGATCCACGCTCAGATATGTAATCAGCTATGAACACGTCCAAAGCTGTCTCTTAGGTTTGACCACAGAATATAGGAACAGTTACCATAATGGACATGACTCAGGAACTTGAGGCCTCAACATTTTGTTAAGTGGGATGACTTGGTTGAATTTTCCTGAGTATTTCCTGGTATCGATTAAGTGCGTGTTCTCTTAACGCCAAGTTTGCAGTTTGGGATCAGTCATAGAAGTAATTAGATCGTTTCTTAAAAACCCAAGCCTTAAAAGACAGAAAAAAAAACAACTTCTTGTTGGATAATTCAGTGTGGCCATTTTGTTGTTGTGCTTTCCGTCCATATTTTTGCTCTGATCTACAGTGTAATACAGTGGCATATTGGGTGTGTTCCGATGCCCTTGTATGATAACATGGCATAGTAGTGGAACAAAAGTGTCAGAAATCGCACTCTTGTTTTTGCCTGTTGTAAAAGTTTTGCATTTGCACATTAAGACAAAGGTATAACTGAACTTCTTGCCATTTTAGTGGAGTGAAGCTTGGTAAGGTAATGTACGCCTTTCTCCCCTGCTTTCATTCCTTGAAAATGAATCGATGTGAATGACTGGGTTTCAACTTCACTCTCGTTTGCAACACTTCACCATTACATGTTTTTTTAGTAAGGCTCACGAAGCGGAACTCTACGTAAGCACCCACATCTCATATCTGTTGTACTTTAAGACTAATATAGGCTGCTTGTTCTTTCTTAATCATTATTATTATTATTGTTATTATTATTATTATTATTATTATTATTATTATTATTATTAATTTCACGCTCAACATGGCAGACCATGGTTGTCCCAGAGGAACGTGAAGGTAAAACAAGTGCAGCCATGATGTTGAGTAGAGACCCGTCTAAGGCGACAGATGCTGTGAGCACTAGGAAAGCAGCAACATGCGACGAAGGAAATAAGCAATCAAGAAAGGTATAACAAATAATTTAGCACCTTAGTATTTTATGGATAATCAGTTTGGTAATTTTGGTATCCCCAATGGGCACCAGTAAAAACCGAGGTTTCTTCTGGTCGAAGTTTTTATTAAAACAGAAGGCGAATGGAAAATTTAGTGACCACTTCTTTGTAGAACAGGCTGGAAAAATTCACCTCCTAGATCCGCAGCAAGTTCTTATTAACCTTTGTGTTGAGCTCAGTGTCTATTCATGATTTGTTTCAAAATTGAATTTTCAACCCGTAATGTAACTTTATTTGCGGGCAGCACTGCGGTGGTATAACCTTTCTATAATTTGCACATTTCATTCGTGAAAGTGTTTACATGGAAATTTCAATTCGAATAGAAAACTCAGTAACAGTTTGTTGCGACGGGAGTGGGACGAAGGTAAAAATTGTTCTGTCTCGGCCAACCAAACCTGATTCTCGGAGGCTGGTTGATAAACAAGCAACATAAATTTATAAAAGGCCGAAATTGTACTCCGATAATAAACGCTGGCCTTACCGGTCGGTGCCACGCCGGGTTTGCCAATTAAGTTTGAAATGAACGCCTGGGTGTTTATGGAAGGAAATGAGGTGCACGTGTAAATTAATTCAAAGAATCCCCAAGAAATTGTAAGGTGTATTGCACCGGGAAAAAAAGTTTCTTTTTGAGCATATTTGGACTCAGCAATGTAAGCGCAATGAAATTGAAAAAATAGGTCCAAAATTCAGGTAATTAACTGTTTTTGGACTAGAGTCGGTGAGGAGTTAGCCAAACACATTAGTAACTACTTGGTGTTGTTCAAGGTCATTGTCGACATGCGGGAGTTTCGCAGTGAGCTTCCTTCACTGATTCATCGGAGAGGGATTGATGTAGAACCTGTGACTTTAGAGGTTTGTACATAATTATCTTCCTTATCTCCTCAAGCTTCCACTAATATGTTTTCCATCGCCACAAAGAAATTATCTGGCGACTAAAGTTACAGTGGAAGTCGCCTTTTGGGTGACCTGCTTTGAGTGATCTGATCATGTAGCCAGCTGTAGCGTTTACATAACATTGTGCTTGTGGGGCTCTGTTCTGTAATTTTTACCACTATTGCCAAAAAATAATGTTATTTTTCTTTCACATTTACAGGTTGGTGATTACATTCTTACCCCAGACATTTGTGTGGAGCGTAAGAGTGTGAGTGATTTGATTGGCTCGCTCAACAACGGAAGACTGTGAGTATTTGTCTGTAGTATTACCACGATCTATAGACTCTATCTGTCATTACATAGTATAGAATATTAGACAGTTGACAGGAAAAAAGCCTTTAAGGTAGATCTGTTATTTGACTTGTTTTATTGTACTCTTTTCTCTTAGTAACATCGCATGATTATGTAACCGGGAATCAATGTTAGCATTTCAGCAACTGTGCACCTACTCCTCCCCTGACCCAACATTAACCCTAACATGTCATCAGTTGACTTTTCAGTTGGGTTGGGGGAGGGGTAGGTATGCAGTTGCTCAAATACAAACATTGATCGGCAAACTGCTAGCTCTGTAGTGTAAATGTAACAATGCTCTTCTCGTCTCTGGGTAACGTCGTATGACTATGCTATAAATATAACGATTTCTTCTACAAATTGTAATGAAATAAATAACTACTCTTTTCGTTTTAATACTAGTCATTGCGAAGTGGGATGAAAAGTCTTTAAATGATTTTGCTGTTTGTGAATCTTTTCCCTCCAATTTCTAGTGCAAAGTTGACTGAACAATGCTATAACGCACAGGTTTTTCGTCATTTTGGGTAGAGTGGTTGGGGGCCAGAATGAAATTATTTCATGGATTTTGACACAAACGTTCTCTACTAACATAAGTTGGCAGCTTCGTGCCCTTTTTTTACTTTTTCACCCGTAAGGTGAGAAAAATTAGAAATGTCGGCACTGTCTGATTTGAATTGCATTTGATGAACACGTTTGATGACCTCCAAGCTTATCGAACACTGCAGTTGTTCTGTACCATTGTTGATCACGTGCTAGTGTCATCCCATCCTAATGATGTTTGGAGTGATTAAACTAAGATTTAAATTTGATCAAATTAAGTGTAAAGCTTTTTAAATACGATTCTGTGCAGATATCCACCATGTCTATGGTTTCTGTGTTAACTTTCAAGGTATCACCAGGCTGTGGCTATGGTCAGGTTCTACAAAAGACCCATTTTGTTGATCGAGTTCGATCCAAACAAGTCATTTTCCCTGCAGGTTAGTATCCATCGTAATCCTGTGGTGAAAATTAAATTAGCTTCGAAGTGTCCATCAAGTAATTTTCAAGTTTCAATTACAGTTGAACATGAGATCATGGGCGTGCGTGGATATGGAATTTCTCTTGGAGTGTTCAGCTCGATAGCTCACGAGTGAGATGTCGAGTTGAACACAAGAACAGAAATATCACATCTACAAACAACTATGTACTATTTTGTTTATCATATCAACACAATAGCCCTTTACTGCCAACAAAAGTCGACTTTATTAATGAATGAAAATAAAAGGATCGACAATCCCCTGATAAAATAAACGCTAAAGAGCTTGACGTACTCGAGATGGAAACAAACAATGGGCCTAATTTTCAATATACAAAATTGTCAGTTATTTATGTCGTCCTTAGCGACAGAAGAAATATTTCAGGTACACGGCCAAAATCGGCTGGTGGCAAATCTTCCAGTTGTCGATTTTCGTTCCCGGCCGCGAGAAATGCTATCACCAAAGCGGTTTCCCTTTTCGTATTTTGGTTTTCTTCCCCATCTAGGAAAGTTTGCACGTCACTGTCTGTAAGCGATACGGATTTTTCAGCGTCTCAGCTGCCATAATCCGCAATAATTCTGTTAAACGACCTTGGATTGTGAATGGTGAAGGCTTTGCCGTTCGTTCATCAACCTGCCCGAGTGGCGCGAAAGCCGAGTGACGTTTCAGCACCTGATTGACGATATTAAACACGTGAAAAAATATCCTATTTTTTTCACGTGTGTTGTTACGCTTTTCTCAGGGCTGGAAATCCCTATATAACACCGTAGTTTATGTGATAAAATGATTTTCCTAATTTTTATCGTTTTGGCTCTTTGTTTGAGTGTTTGCCGTTTTACATGTGGGAGAATTGTAGATTTTTGTGTGGAAATTCTTGATGGGATGTGTACTGGACCTCTCTGTAGCTTTTTCTGTTTATTTTTTAATTTAACGGAGGGGGATTATTTGCGCTAGTCAACAACATCCAAGGCAGGGCTTGAAAACAGTTTAAATGCCAACTTGCCCTTCGGGAAAGCAACTTTCATATGTCACTTTCAGAGGCATTCCTCCGCTAGCCCTACCTCGTAGGGGATGAAAAAAGGAAATAAAAGACTAAGATGTTTTAGCGTCAACTCTTAAACTATCAGATATTGCAAGAAGGGAGATAAAGTTGCTCGTCCGAGTGGGAAATCTACCGTGCCCTTCCCGTACTACTGCACAGGGGTTTTTGCGAGCGCTGAATCTGAGGCCATCGAGAATCCTAGACCCAAATATATCTACAATTAAGCGCTGTGAACACACTGTAGAACAAATTGAGCTAAGATTAGAATGAGAATAAACTGAATCGAACAACTTGTTTGTATTATAAATATTAGGAAAATCTTCTCCCGATGTAAGCCATCTGTATTGAGGTGGAAAAAGTGAGATTAAGTGGAAGAAAAACGAAAATGAAAATATTAAGATCTAACCTCTTAATACTCGAAATTAACAATTTGTTTGATACACGGAAATTCCCAACACCTGCACAGTTGGTAGGATCGGGTAAAATTTTGCATTTAATTACAAGAATTAAAAGTCCTAGCCTGCCAGGAGTCTCCCGTAGCTCAGTGGCAGAGCATCCTAAATACTGCTCGGAAGGTCGTAGGGTCGTCCCTTATCGAGAGTACTTGGAGTTTGTTTTGTGCGAGTATGTCTGTGTTGTTCACTGAAAACATCATCTTTCACTAGAATGAAACTACTGCCCGTTATTCGTTTAGGAGTGATCCAGAACTTAAGAATCCACTGCAAGTGATCTTGATTTTCTATGCTTCTGTATGGTCGTGTGAAGTAGACAAGTTTAGTTCTTGTAGGACACACGGACACAGATAGTTCTTGTCACTGACCTTTGTTCCTTACGTGACGTATAAACCGAACCTCAGAATCCAATGATGTTGTAATTACCCCTGGTTTTTCTTTAACTCTCTTGTTAAAATTAGGAATTAAGACTTGGAATCGCCCATCGTGAATTTCTAACAGTTTTTTACCGACATTTTTTATCCATCTGATTATTTATCTGTTTACCCGTTTGTTTGTTTGTTTTTCCTTCAGGCGAAGTCAAGTTTGTCAAGTGAGGTATCCTTCAATGACATATCTTCCAAGTTGACTTTACTTACACTTCATTTTCCTAAGGTGCGTGTTATGAATGCTTTTTGGCTTCTTGTTGTCTTAAAGCAATAATGGTAATTAATGATGATCCTGGTTGATCTTCCAGTTGAAAATCTTGTGGTGTCACAGCCCGTATGCAACAGCTGAGCTTTTTGACGATCTGAAGGTGAGTCTCTCGTGATGAAACAACCTTGTTGTTTATGGCTTTCGTAATATTTGCTTGGCGTCGTAAAGAACAGACCTATGGAAGCCTTTGAAAGATCAAGTTACGTTTACCCGCGTGTTAACTGACTCCACACAACGTGGTCTTGATCCACTAATTTAATTTTGATGCAGTAGGAGGTGACCAGCAGGTTAGTTACTTAAAATGTCCCCCCCCCCCCCACCCTCCTACAGTCCTTGCTATCGCTATTGAATTTCAAACAGTGTGATAAAATGTTACTAAATGCACTATGTTTGTGTATTGTCTATATAATGATGGTGTTAATGACTCGAAAGTTGGCGCAAATGAAACTACATTTTTCTCCTTTGTTTGACGAATGACGCCTATGCCCAAAATGCCCAAAAATGTTATTGAATTCTGATTCAAATGCAAAATCGTTATTGAATATGATTTACGCACAAATGATCGTTTTGATCGCTAATGTATGTAACTTTACGCAGTTGTTCGCCTTTTCACGCAACTAAATTGATATTTTGTCGTAATAAACAGCAAAAGGTGTAGAAAGGGAGCCATACCGCTAAATGGATTATAGTAATCGTTTTGGAGATGCGTAGTAGTAGTAGAGTGATTTTTACTTTTTTTTTTTCTATTTTTGTGTTGTTTTCCAGGCAAAATGTCTTGAACCAGATGCCGCCACAGCCATGGCTGTGGGCTCTGACTCCACAGCAGTTGCCTCAGATGTTACATACAACATTGGACCACAGGTGAGTCAGTAAAGGATGCTGGTACAGGCCGGGTGAGTCTCCAAAGACCTTAGACCGGTTAAGACGGAACAGTTGATAAAGACAACGAGGATTGACCGCTAATAAGACTTTGAAATGAGTTGTTTGTGTTTTAAGAAAGACGTAAGGCAGTGCTAAGGTGTCTTATCAAGATTTCCGATACGGACTTCTGACTTGGGAAGACAAAATACTGGCTAAGTCTAATTTGGTGTTAAAGGTGAAATGATAGTCTTTTGAGTATTGGGTTAAACGGAAAACGAATGGAAACTAGGGTCTCGTTCTGATCTCTTCAGCATAGTTTTTTAATTTCATTTGAATAGTTCTGAATGTAGATTTGTTTTTTCATGTACGTTGTAATTTTGTTTATTCTAGCTTTCTTTTCTGTTTAAGGACTTCATTTTAAAGCTTCCTGGCATAAATTTCAAGAACTACCGGTAAAACTTTCGGATGGCTATATTCAATGATATGCTTTATTTGAGTTCTGGTCCTGTGCAAGACATGACTTCTTTATCTCTACTTGTATACGTTAGAGAAGTTCTGAAATTCTTGTCTTAAGCCCAGTAGTAGGTTACGACGGACAGTTTAGACCTCATCCTGGAACCCTTTTTTTTGCTCTGTGAAAGATAAATTTTAATTTTTTTAAACTTATTTTTCCAGATCTGTCATGAGAAACGTGGAGAGTGTTCAAGAACTTTTCACACTGCCTCAGGAAAGGCTTGCAAATATTTTGGGCAATGCTAACAGTGCTAAACAACTCTGGGAGTTTATTCACACCGATAACAAAGGTCGTGTGCAGCCACAAACATCCTCGAAAGTAAGAAGATGAACTTCTTGGACTTGTTGAAAACAAGCTGTCACAGTATAGTATGTATAGAGGAAATAAAAATTTACCATGGGCAAACACGATCGTTTGGGTATTCAATAAAAAGTCAGGCAAGTTACTCTTTGAATAAGATAGCCCACCTTTGATATGTGTAAACACGAGCAAGGAAAGCTGGGTCGAGTAAAGAAAGGCGAGGATCGCTGTTGTAGATTATAACGGTTTCCTTCATCATCACCATCTCAATTAGGTCGGTAAAAGCCGGTTAGGCAACACACTAACCACTTAAAATGCAAAAGTAAAAATTACAAGCTACAGTAAGTACAGTACAGACTAAAAAGTGAACTCTACAAATTGACATGCTCTTATTAACCTAATGAACTAAGGTAATTCTTAAATTCGGCTAGAGACGTAACATCAGACATGCAGGGAAGAGCTTATTCCAGTCTATAGCGGTTCTTGAGAAAAATAGAATTTGAACACGTCTTTCTTTCAGTGAGGTTCAAGAAGTGTATGGCTGCTCCTGGTTCGGGTCTCATTACTAAAATTTAAAAAAGCGCTAATCTTAATGTCAACCAAACCATGAATCATTTTATACATAAAGATCAAGCGAGATCTTTTTGTCCCTTTTACAAGGGTGCAAAGTTCTAATTTTTCTAGTATGAGCGTGACGCTTGACTACCAGTCATAATCGTTTGTACAAAAACGGGCTGCTGCCCTTTGCACTCCCTCTAATGTGACAATGTGGTATTTAAAATGTGGTTCCCGAGTAACGGACAAGCACTCGAGCTTAGGCTCATAAATATAATTATTTTATCTCTGTCAGTTGGTGAGTGCGGTTTAAATGGTCAATTTTCCTGGCCGTTTTTCACTGCACGGCTCGCCAAATCCCAAGGTTTGTTTTGGTCGCCAAAATGTCTCGAAGAAAAATTTGAAATATATTGAAGGGAAAAGCACGCAAACGAAAAGAAGGAACAAAACTCAGAGGCAGACATCCCGAACTTTAGAGTTGGTTTCTTCGAGTTTTAGTAACGCTCGATTTCCACTCGATTTATTGCTTGCACGCTTTGCGCTTGGACCATAAATCCGAGCGGAAAAATTCGGTCTGTAACGATAAACAATAAAACGACGTGCTTTAGGTAAATTTTAAATAGAAAACGTAATCTAAATACCCGTAGATGGTTTTTTGTGTTAAAAGTTGAACAAGATATTAATAATATTGAATGGACGGACTGTGCACAGACCTTGAATGTAGAACATTTACAATTTTCAATATCCAAGGACCACTGTACTGCAAACAGCCGGCAAATAACTGCTTAAATTAATCGTCAGACTCACAAAAGCTTGTAAAGAAGATAATTTTTATGAAACTGATGTATCACAAATAGGCAGCAAGGACAACTGCACTAAGTGGACTCACTTTGAGGAAAAATTGGGTAGCAAACTACAATTCTGCAAGGTATCAATCATACCAAAGCGTTCACGTCAAAACCTGGAGAAATATCTCTGAGTACCTGTTTTGAGCAAATAGCCTATTGCCTATGTTGCTTATGTTTCTCGTGAATTATAAGCAATAGGCATGACTAGTTTTCTTCATTCTGGTTGGTGACAAGACAATAAATCTATTTAAGTGAAGATTCCATCACATCACGCACACTTTTCGAGCATGTAGGACCTGAATAAAAAAAAGCTACTTTAATATTAACTCGGCTCGATTGGCCCTCAGTCGCTCTAAAAACGACGGTAGCAAACACGGGAAGCTTGCTAGCCTGCAGAGAAAGCGTAATTTTGGCGAACGAGTGCTCAGTATTTTCTTAGCGAAAATCGTGGCCGCTATCTTTTATTTTAACGGCAGCGGAAGGCTGAGGAGAGAAAGAAAGTTGTACCAGGAGGGCGGTCGATAGTCAATAGTAAGGAGAGTGGTAGGGGAAGGGGAGTGAAGATTACGCCTGCCCGAGGTCATTGTTATTTTGCAAAACTCCGTTCCCCCACGAACGGAATTCTTGATTGGTGCGGTTAAACTCCAGCTGTCAATCACAATCCAAACGCGTCATTTGAACATTTCGCTCTTGGGGAAAAAGAGAAAAACGGTTAAGTTGTTAGTTTCAATATTGTTTTCGAGGAAGTACTTCAGTGTCTTTCGGACTTAAGTGTCTTTCGCTAATTTCCGGAATGCAGTGACGCGCAACTAATCAGGGGGTGTTTGCTTTTCAAAAGCAACAACAGACATTCAGAATTCATGATTGCCGGAAGTAAATTTTTAACTCGGTGTCGTAGCTTTTACAGTCAAGCTTTAAATTCAAATTTTTAATTCGAACTTTGAATTTTAGAATATATTAGCGCTGAACGCCTCTCACACAGCCAGCCCTTGAACTTTATCTCATTCTAAATGAACTACTTCTGCTTTTTATTTGTTCTTTCTTTCTTTTTTTTTAATCTGTTTGACGGGGACTGGGTTTGGCTGAATACCTTTCACATCTCCGTTTTTTATTTTATTTTTTTTAGTGAGAATCAGTAGCTTGAAACACAAGCTTGTTTTGTTTGCGCTCAATAAGCAACTCTCTAAGCAATCATATGCGGCTCTGTGGGTGTAAGTTGATCCGTTGCCATGGAAGTTGATATCCAACAACTTTTCTTTTATTTGGAGAAAATCACAGTACGTTATTGAGTTTCTCATCTCCAACTTGTATCGATTGTTTTGTATAAATGTTCGCCTTTTTTTATCCTGATTTCTAGTGATCTCAGTATTGTAATAGTATCTTTCCATGTGTTCTTCTTTCTTTTGTTATGATTTTTGACGGGGAGTGGGTTTGACGGAACACATTTTCATCTACGCTTTGTTTGTTCGCGATCAGTGAGCGACTCTCCAAGCAATCAGACGTGGCTTTGAAGGTGTAAAGTTGATCCGTTGCCATAGAGGTTGAGATCCAACCCCTTTTTATTTCATTTCTGGTCTTCCAAATAGATAAGTTCTATGCTTTTGAAATCACATTTAATGAAAGTAATTCACTATCCCTGTGACATTTGAAGTGGTATGCTGTCGTTCATTAGTCGTTGATTAGTCGTGGAGGAATTCACAAATCAACACCTCGGTGACTACTTCTCCTTTTCTGAATTTTGGAGATTTATTTTGAAATAATCTGCGCTAGGATGGATTTGAAAATGACCGAAATATTTTAATAACAAATCAGATGGAGAAAATGAACAGTATACAGAACCTTACTTTCCTCTTTTGGTCAATACGTTTAAGAATAAGCCGGAGAGATAAATGTACTTATTCCTTACAAGCAACATTTTCATTGAAAAATTTACCCACGTGTAGGCGATTTTTTTTCATGGAAATAAATCGCTGTAAGAGAGGAAACCTTTTGTGCGACGTATTTGTTTACAGAATTTGACGGTTTTGTATTAATTTTTACCTTTTTTACCTGCTTTCTTTTGATTTCAGTTATGTGTTCTTCCAAATGGATATGTTTAATGCTTTCGGAAATTACATTTTTTATGAATTCAAAGTAATTCACCATTCTTGAACATTTGAAGTGGTCTGCTGTCGTTCAAATTGTAAGCTGCCGACAGAATTGTTTGTTACTTGAATGTTTTCGTATGATTAGTCTTGGAGGAATTTACAGATCAACGCCTCTGTGACTACTTCTTCTTTTCTGAATTTTGGAGATTTGCTTCAAAAAAAATATGCGCTAAGAAAGGTTTGAGGATGACCGAAATATTTCCGTAAAAATCAGATGGAGACAATGAAGAGTACAAAGAGCGTTATTTTCTATTTTTTCCTTACAAGCAACATTTTCATGGAAGAATTTCATGATAATAAGTCGCCTTAAGAGAGGAAACCCTTTGCGCGATCGATTACAAACAGCCATCGATCGTTTACGAAACGGTTATAATTATATGGCCCTAAGCCTTTCGTGCTCATCAAAATGAATCTGAGTTACCCTAAAGAGCCGCGTGGTAATTCCTCCACACTAGAGATCTTTTGCTCCAGCTCACCCCAGTTCAAGTTCATTTGGGACTCGACGCAAAAAACTTCCCTTCAGCTCGCAATCGTCGTTGTAACTGTCGCTTGTCCATTCACTGTTCTTTTAAACATCGTAGTGATTGCAACTATAAAAGAAGTTCGACAGTTACAAAAAAACTCCAACATTTTGATCGCAAGTTTGGCCGTGGCTGATCTTTTGGTTGGCGCAGTTTGTATGCCACTGACGATCAGTTTAGATACGCTGATTCTTCGAGGTGATGCATCAGAAAACATTATATGCACAAGAGTTCTCGTTGCTACGCTGGTGCTGTACACTGCTTGGAGTGCTTCATTTTAACATCTATTATTTTAATAAATAACCAAAGGACAAAAAGCAGAGTGTTAACGAAGCTGAAAGACCCAAGCAATAACAATCAAATAACACAAAATCCTTCCAGATTACCAAATATTCTAAATAAGCATTTTGCAAGTGTTGGTAATTTACTAGCAAGTAAATTGCCAAAGAAAGATAACTATATGAGTTATCTTGGTAAATTGAAATCACCTGATTCTTCCTTCTTTTTCAAACCCATTACACCAGAAGAAGTTAAACAGGAAATATTATCCCTACCAAATAGTAAATCCTGTGGCTTATACTCCTGCCCTACACAACTGCTTAAATCTTCTTGCAATATCATATCTCCAGCTCTTTCTCATATTTTCAATTTATCTGTTATCCATGGTGTCTATCCTTCAAAACTTAAGATTTCTAAAATAACGCCAATATATAAAAGTGACGACGAGACCGACCCTTCAAACTATCGACCAATATCTCTTTTGTCTAATTTTAATAGGATTTTTGAAAAACTTTTGTACTACCGGATGAAGGAATTTATTGACAAAAACAACCTATTGTACTCCTCACAGTATGGCTTTCGCAAGTCACATTCCACAGAGCATGCAGTACTTGATATTGTCGAAGATATACTACGTAATATGGATAAACGGTACTTCTCATGCGGTGTCTTCATTGACCTGAAAAAGGCATTTGATACGGTCAATCATGAAATATTACTCGATAAATTGAACTTTTACGGTTTCCGTGGATTGA